GAACCTTGGACGAAAAAATGGAGTGCTAAACAAGCATGGTTCTTTGCAAAGCAACAGAAAAATTGGCAATTTTTTTTATTTTGGAAAATAATCTGCTTATTATCAATTTCATCAGAATCATGATCATCATCAGTCCTAATAATTTCCAAATGGATGATTGAATCAAATGATAGAAAAATCCAACCATCGCCAAATAAAAACAAAACAAACAGCAATGACCATTGAAATCATGAAAGCATCCAAACAAAATACGAAGCCTAAAATATATATATAATCATTAATAACGCTAATCGTAAAAAACCGATTGATGAAAAACGAACATCATTCAATCCATTATGATAGAACGAACAAATGAATAAAAAAGAAAAATCTGGCCAACGATCAACAATGGTCACATTGTGGATATCGAATTCCCTAATTCTTGTCCATACACTAAAGCCAACCGAATCATTTGAAGACAATACAAATAAACAAAAAAAAATCATTGAATTATCCGGAATATCTTGTTCATGTCTTTCGATTTTTACTGTCGTGCAATACGAAACCAATCACCATTAACGAAAAACCATCAAATGAGAAAGAAAAATTGACAAAAAAAAAAAAAAAAACAAATGGAATGAAACATAAATAAAACAATCGAAATTAGCGAATATAGATGAATTACAATGAATGGATGGGATAAATAGATAGATAAATGATGATAGAGAATATCAAAAAAAATCAAGATATATATCGAATGAATCATTTAATCATAGAAAATCCTTTATTTTAAGTAGAGATCGGTTAAGTTGGTCTAGATCCAGTTTGATCTACAGTCGATGAAATGTGGCCAAAGCCATACATTTGATCAAGACTTAAGTTGTTGAAATTCTTATGCAATCACAATGAATAAATATATAAACACATTATATATGCACACACACACACATTATATTCCATAAACTGATGGAAAATACCAACCAATAAAGACGAATTTATTGAACCGTGATCAATAGGTAATAAGGAACATTATAATGTACTTGATATATCAAGTCATATATTTTTTATTATTATTGCAGTTGCACATTTTTAAAATGTTTTTTTCTGTAGATTTTATTTTCGTCTATTTATTATTGAATGAAATGTTATGGATTTTTTTTCATTCTGTTCAATATTCAAGATAAAAAAAAATCTGATTGAACATGAGCCTTTAGGCTAATAAAATTCAAAATTGCACAATATGTCTTTTGATTATTTTTATGCTTCAAAAAATTGTACGACAACAACTATCATAACATAAAGTAATTTGATCGAAAACAAAATTGTCAAACAAAACCTAGGATTATGGAATAAAATGAGCTATAAATGGTTTTATATGGTCATTCAAATTCAAATCATGTGATATTCATAAATGGTGGGTTAAAAAAAAAACTTAATACCAACAGTAAAAGACAAAGTAGTAGTACATTCAGAGTTTAAAAAAAAATTATGACAAAAAAAACACATGATATGAGTGCTATAATAGAAAAAAGTTTTTTTTGTTGAGAAAAAAAAAATTCAGCCATATATAAAAAAAATAAACATATAGAATTCAATGATGATGATAAATAGAAAAATCCAAAACACTAGAACAACGCCACAAAAAAAAACATGGACTATATCACAAATGAAAGCAAAGTTTGAATCAAGCTTTACATTAAATTCTATACAATAAAGATGAAATCCAATGAAAATATAGTAAATAAATAAATGTTTTTATTTATTTATATTCGAGTTAATCGTTAAAATGATTATTACAAAAAACTTTTTTTTTTTTTTTTTTTTTTTGGTTCTGATTGTTGTACAATCAATTTGAAATTTATCATTATACACAATTATTTGAAGGTTGTTGTTGTTGTTGTTGTTGGTTTTTTTTATATCTCCATCCGTCCCGTGTAATATTTTTGATGTTTGTCGGACGTGTATATTATTTTTGGCCATTGTTATTTTTGTTTATATAAAGTTTCAAAATGGCTTCAAATTTATGATTTTTGTTTTCTACAATGGAAAATTTCTAAATTTTTTTTACTCGCTTTCTCTCTCTCTCTCTCTTTTACTTTATCCATGGATCTAATTGAACAAACTTTTTTTTCTGGTAGTGAAAAAATTCAAGTTTTTGCGCTTTTAAATAGAGATGTATATATATTATTATGTGTGATGTTTATATAAAAAAAAAAAAAAAAAAAAAAAATCAGGAAACTTTTGTCTAACATGAAGAGTAGGAAAAAAAATAAGAAAAAATTCTTTGATGAGAATCAATATTCGTGAAAAAAAAATCTTGAGAACAAATTTTTTTGATTTCCAAAGAAAAAACAAGAACATGTAAGACAGAAAAAGCAAGAAAAGAATGAAATATGGAGCATTATGAATGAGACTTTTTTGTTTGATTACAAGATTGATTCTTGTACCAATGAATTTTATTTCCATTCTAAAGTTGTCCTTGTTCTCATTGTTATTATTATTATTATTATTATTTCTGTTGTAATTTTCAATGTTTCATCATCGTCATTCAATCGAATTTCTTCATCATATCGATACGAAAACAGTAAAAAAAAATTCTCTACAAGAATCAAAATTAGATTTATACGCCTTTTTCATGATGAAAAGAATTTTTTTTCAAATTTTTTTTCTTCTTACATTTGTCAATTCGTTCTATAGACAAGCAAATAATTTAAGAATAAGAAACAAAAACAACAACAAAATTATCATGATGAAAGATTCATGACAAATGTTTGATTGATGAATGAATGGTATAGATTGATTGCCCATATGATTCGGCTGTGTAAATAAAATTGATTCTAATCGATATGTGTGTGTATAAAACTCAAAGACATTGCTAACAACCGAACCAAAACATCGTCAGACAAAGATTTATCGATTGTTTTCGTGATTCATGAAAAATTTTTTTTTCCATATAAGATTCATACACCATCCCCAAAAAAAGACGCGAACAAAAAAAAATCATCGAAAAGAATCGAAATCTATTTTGGTACCTCAATGACATGTCCGTACAGGAAGAGATACAATAATAAGCAAAGTGTAATAATGTAATCACATAGTTATTACAAATATTCATCATTTGATTCAATCTTCGATTTATTTTGTGAATATTATTTCGTTAATTTGTACATTTCATTTTATATTTTAGATTGTAACAATGTTTTTTTTATACAATAATATAAGGTTGAAAAACAAACAAGAAACTCAAAATGGATTTTTTGTCATTTTACCATATTGGATAAACTATTTATAAATAATTAATTTCATCATCATCATCATAATCATTTATTGTTCTAAATATCATAGAAATTGATCGTTTTTTTCGTATACTTGAATTAATCAAAATGAACTAGAACACTTAAAAAGATTCCTGAATCGGCAATTGTGATAATTTGATAGCCATCGTTTGTTTTACCGATAAATGAATTCTGGTAGCAACAACATATACATCTACACACACATCAAAACGCAAGAAACAATCCATACATCATTGTCTTGAATGTGATCACAAAAGTTTATTAATGTTTAACATGTTTAATGTTTGCTATAACAAAAAAAAAATATATATATATATAATTTCATATGTCAGACAGAAATGGCAAAATTCGAAAGCAAAAGAAAAAAACTCCGATCGATATCGATGATGATTGTTTGGAATTAATGAATAAATGAATGGATAAAATGATGAAATTATAACAAGAAATTTGAGAAGTAGAACGGGAAAAAATATCTCAAGTGATATTATGATATTTTGTTGATACAATGTTCTAGATTCTAGAACATAAGCCGTATATGGGAAGCAATAACTAACCAATAACAAATAAAAATTGTTTCCACTTTGCACAAAACGAAAGAACAAAAAAAAATATATATAGATGAGATCGTTGGTTGACCACATCAATAGGATACCGGTGGCCATGTATTGTAAAAGTATATTTCCATTCTTTGGATTGCCATAAGTATCATCATTATCATTGGTGGTCGACTATTAATATATACAGGCCATATAATCATTTCCAGTCATTGACTTTTGCTAAAATAAAAATAATAATAATAATAAGCTTTCATTTTTTTCATATTCCTATTGAACCAATTATACGGCAAAAGCAAGAAGATAAAAAATATAAAAGAATAAAACTGTTACATTCTTATAAATAAGAAAAAAACTATTCCAATTGAAAAAAACCTCATATTAAACTGCTAAAGTGAGAATAACCAAAAACAACTAAAGAATCCTAAAATCGTTTTCATAAAAAAGGAACAAGTGGCGGTCTCTGAGGATTTCAATCGATACTTAATATCTTCATCATTAGCATAAGCATTTTTTGAAGGTATAATAAAAATCATAATCACATTCGAGAATCAAAATCAAAACAAATATGGCCAATAAATGTCAAACATTATATATATCATTCTTTATCACAATTGATTTTATTCATTTTTATTATTTAAAAGTCATCATTGTTATTTTCTTTTTAATCTAACCAGGTTAATAGGATATTAATCATTAATCAATCAATAAATCTTTAAATGAAATCGACATAATGACAAAAAAAAGTGCAATCAAAATCAATAATGGTTGAAATCGGATGGATTTTCTTAAGAAAATAATACTCTGTAGTGTATTAATAATTATTGATTGATTGATTGACAATGCCATTTTTATATTGTATTTTTATGATTGTTTTATCACAACTACCTACAGGCAGATCATTTCAACCACACAATTGAATAATCAAATAATTGAGATATGATGATGATCAATAAAAATCATTTTATTGATAAATGAAAAAAATCACGATGAACGTGTCCATGGCAATGGAAAAAATTGTATTTCTACAACAATTAGCGAGATTATTAATAGTAATTAGGTGTCAATTTTTTCAATTCAAGAATCAATAAAAAAAAATTCAATGACGAATAAAACAGAAAACCAAATCAATAATCAATTCAATTTTAAAATCAATTGCCATATTACACGATTTGAAGTAATTCAATAAAAAAAGAGGATAATAACAGGATCCAGCTAAAATTCCATGCTTCATATAATCGATCGTTTGATTGATTTTATCTCAAGATGATGATCAATCGAGGATATTTTTTTGCCGCATTTGCCCAAAGTATCGATTTTTCTTTCGCTTGTTTTATATCTAATAGTTGGTTTTTTTTGAATCGAAGTTTGATGATTTTTTCTCCTATTTCTGATTCTTTTTTTTCGTCATGTCATAGCCCTGAGGGTCTGTTTAATTAAATCAATTTCGATTTTTTTTGTGGTGCAGGACATCTTTTTTTGTGCTTTTGATGATTCAGTTTGACCAATTTCTGAAAAGATGCTTTTATAATCATGGAACATTCCAAATTATCACGATTAAATCAATCAAAAATGAATAACAATTTTATTCTAAGAAGAAAAGATTCCCCAAATTCAATTTCGGATAATGATTCCGATCCACAACAATCTCCATCACCATCTAATAAATTTCGTCACCGTGATTCTGTTTTTGTCAATAAAAATCAAATTGAACAACGACGAATTAGTAAAGGCGAAACTGATGATGATGAAGATGATGATGATGAATTGAATCGAAACACTCAGTTTAATATGCAACGACAATCTAGCAGTGGATCACAGGTTCGATTCAAACTAAATGAAAATGATATTTCTGATAATGAAATCACAGTTCAGAATAACATACCTTTAAAGCGTAAACCTGAACCTATTATCATCGATGATAAAAATAGAAATGATCAAACAATGGAAACGAAATTAAAATTACGGCCAACATTATCCTCATCATCGAATCGTTTTTCACAAACGACACCAACATCTGCCAATAAACGAATAAGTTTTGCACAATTTGATCATGTTTTTAAATTTGATCATCCAACAACAAGCACATCAAAAAATGAAGACAAAAATCGAAAAGCGTCCATATATGATCATATGAAAAAAATAAACATTGATAACCAAGATGACGATAGGTAAGTTTATAAAGTAGATCAAAAATCATTAAAAGAAAATTGACCACAAATGCACCGGAACATATAGGCTGGTGAGTCATTGCCACTTGCACAAATAAATGAATGAATGAATCGAAATATACAAACTTTTTGTATAATGGCAGCTTGAAAATGTTTGTTTGTTTTTCGATCGCTTGATCAGAAGCTAACAACAGGCAGTAAGCTTATCACATAAATACACAAACAAGCAGCTGAATGATATATGTTGTAGATCTGATCCAGTCGAGATTTCTGTAAGTGAAAACAAACGAATAAAAAACAGAATTCTCAAAGGCAAAATAATAAGCCCAATGGAAAATTTTTTGCCATTCGATGATAAGGATCGTTTCGTTCATTGGATAATTTCGATGATCGTAAATCAGCCATGAAGAAAAATGAAATATAATGGCGATATACGATCAAAAGTATGCCATGCGTCATTGTTGTTGATTTTATACTATTATTAAAAAACAAAAAAAAGAGAAAAAATTTCAGACAAACAACAAACCTTGCAATGCAATATGTTCGATGATTGTCGCTGTTGTTTACGTTGATGTTGACGTTAATATGTCATCGGCTTTTCGTTGTTAAAATGAAAAAAGAGCCAGAGTGAAAAAAGTTGTTTTTATATTTCAAACAAGTTAAATTTGATTGTCCAATTTGGATGAAATAGTACAAACACAAATAAGTGAACAAAACTTTAACGTTAAACATGTGAGCACATGAGGTCATTAGCCGGTCTACCAATTGAATGGTTGGTAGTTGGTTGTTTTTTGGACACTGATGGGCAGCAATATCAACAAATGAAACGAGCGAATGAGCAGGCAAAATAATTCAAACACAATGATGGTGATGATGATGATGATGGCCAAAAAACGAATCCAAAATGAGATTATTATAAGCGTGTTTATATATGTAAATCGTCGAATGATTATTATTATTATTATGATGTTGGATAGAGTATTCTATTTTCAGTTTTTTTTTCAAGATGAGTATTTGCGTTTGATCGAAGGATTTTCTCCTTTTTTTCTTCCAAAACTTGTCTATTCGGAAATGATAAAGAAAAAAGTTTCAACACTCTTATTTCCAAAATTTAAAATTTTCGTTTCGTGTCTAATAATAATAATAATAATTTGGATCAACCAAAAGAGATTTTTAATGATTTTAAAGCAAATAGTTCAACTTCTTTTATTTTTGGTTCTAAAGATATATAGAGAGAAAAGTAGTTAAGAATTATTTTATAATTCTAGAAAATTTTCTAGGCCATACCTGTTAATTATGTTGCAGAGGATTTTCGACAAAATAATCAAATTAAACATTGAAAAAAAACAGAAAAAAGTTTTTGAGTAAATCCCAGAATTGCAAATTTAATTTCACCAGTGTCCAAAGCGCCAAAATAAAATGTTTGCGCACACACAAACATTTTTTTGGTTGTCCGAGTCAGTCGAAGAATATTTTTTTTTGGATCCTGTTCACAGAGAACGTTTTTTCTGGAACATTGTGGGGTCATAAAAGAAAATTTTTATATCATTTTACAAATTTATCAAGAATTATGAAATTAAATGAAAGATTTTTTAATCGTTGTTTACAAATGAAAAACAATTTTCTGTTACCACATTTTATTTATTTACATGAATAAATTTTTTTATAGAAAAAATATATGAATCAATTAGCCTTGTTCCGAGTACTATAGTGTCAAAAAAAAAAAAAAAAAAAAAATTTTCACACTCAAACAAATGTATGATAATTCACATAAATGGGATAATGTGAACAACAAATGTAAGAGCTTATTAAATTTTTCCTAGATACTATAGAATACACAAATACACTAGCCTCATTTCTCCTTATTTCCTGTTCCGTAAATTTTTTTTTGGATCCATTCAATTCTTAATAATTAATAATCGTTTCATTCTGTTTTTCATACAAAAAATCATCTTGTCTGTGTGTATGATGTAAGTGTGTGGGTGAACAAAATTTACTATTCGAGCTAACAACAACAAAAAAAAAAACTTTTCTACACATAGGAAATGTATGAAAGGATAAAAAAAATTGAGTCACGCCAGATCATCACCATCGAATATAAAATGTAATCAAATGAAGCACAGAAAGAAAGCTATTTTCAATCATCAATTTTAACCATATATAATTGTTGCTAAAGCAAAAGTTTTTTTTTAATGTAACTTGCTTGAAAAAAAAACATTCATATATTTTTGCACAGTCACGTCTTCATACATTTCTAAAGATGAAGAAATTTAGGAAAAAAAATATTGAAATTTTTCATATAGTCGTATTGGTAACTGTTTATGTACTAATAACTTGACAATAAAATTTTCAAACATTTTCATTCATATTTTGTTGATTATTAATAAATTTTTGTTTTGTTTTTTTCAGTAGTGATGAAACCAAAACATATCCATGGGATTCATTCAAATCGATTCCCACACAGGATGAAGATTCAAGTTCCAGTTCGAATTGGGTGAAATTTTTTCTAAAATTATTCAAATTATTATCACATGCAATAAGTTTCTTATTGGTATTGGTTATGGCAATCATAGCGAAATTATTTTTACATTTGATGGCAACAATGACACGTGTGGATAAAAGTATACAAATTTGTAAAAAAAATCTTCTCGATGATAGTTATGATCATTCAGCTCTTATACCATTGTATACGCGTTTGGAATTAAAATCTGATGAACGTATCGCTTGGATATGGATGCTATTTTTCGTATTAATTTCTCCTGATATTATACTTTTCTTTCGTAGTATTCATTCATGTTTATTTAAGAATTATTCACTTCCAGATTTTTATGCAACATTAATGATATTTTTATCAAGTACTTCCGAAGTAATTGGCATTTCATTATTGGTTTATGTAGTGTTGCCATCATTTGATACAATTGTTGGTTTGATGATTACAAATTCATTGTTTTTGATTCCATCATTGTTTCATTTCATGAGAGCTATTAAAATGGACAATCCTGAACAAAGACAATCAATTTCAAATCGAATAATGAAAATTCTATATCTAATAGCATTTATATTTCAAATCATGTCCATAATAGTATGGCCAATTTTATTGTTAATAAAAGATTCTAAATATAAATCAACAACAATTGAAGACAATGTTTTTGATCCAAGACGTGATGACATACATCTATCATGGATCATTCCTATTGCATGTATTTTAATAACGTTTGGTTATTGGGAAAATTTTCTTGGCAACAATAATCCTGACGATGATTCATCATCTAAAATCCAGAATCGATTTATACAATCATTATATCAGATTAAAGATAATTCAAAACGAAGTAAATTTGCTATCTATTTATTTGTATCAATTTGGAAATGTCTACTTCATTTGGCCATAATGCTAGTAATTCAAGGTTTGTTGGCCATCCATCAACCAAAGACGACAGATGCAAATGATAATGATGTTGATGATGATAGTAATATGAACCGAATGGCCGATATGATGAATTTTATGTTTACCAATTTCACTCAAGCATTTCGACAACATCCGATCACATTGGTAGCTAATGCCGGATTCAATTGTAAGTACATTTGAGCTGAATTAAATTCATAGAACTAACTAATTCAAGTATTATTATCCTTAACATAGATCGTCATCCTACAATCGATTCTGATCCAATGTTGCCTATCTGGATTGGATTGATACAAATTGCTGCAGCATTTTTTTGCTATCAAACAATCAATTTCGTTTGCAAAATCTGTATTCAACCATTAGGATTTGGATTGCCAATCACAATGGCAATGCCCTTAACTGTTTCATTGACACATTCGTTGGGCCAAATTGCCATCAATGATCGATGCTGGCTGCCTGATCAGTGGAACATCTTTGATTATACATTTTTCAATGTCCCGTACGATATTTTTGATCATAAATGTTGGATAAATTATTTATTCTATGCCATATGGATGATGACTTTCATATCACAAATAATCATAACCAATCATATTTGGATCTCATCCAAAGAACGATTAGCATCAACAAATCAGCTATTTATGTTGCCTTTATATTCATCTGCCTTTATCGATCAATCATTAATGTTGAATCGCCGCCGCAATTATGACAACGATATTTGGTCATCATTATTGAATGAAAATGAGGCTGATTCATCGATGGATGGCCGAAAATCTCCAATGCAAGAATTTCAACGAAAATCCTCCAAAGAGAATGATGACAATGATATTCGTATATATGCCTGTGCAACCGTATGGCATGAAACGGCTGATGAATTATTGCAAATGTTAAAATCAATCATGCGAATGGACAAGGATCAATGTTGCCGATCACTGGCTGTCAAATGTCTACAGGTTAAGAAACGTGATGTCGATTTTTATCAATTTGAAAGTAAGCATGCGATCCTTTGAAAATCACTATCAATAATATAATTTGTCTTTTATTATTTTCAATTTCATTTTGATCAGCACATTTGCTCGTTGATGATGCTTTTAAAAAAGGCAAATATTACAAAAAGAATGCAAACGATTTGGACATCAATGAATATGTACAAACATTGATCGATGTGTTGGATGAAGCTGCACAAAATGTTCATCAACGTTATATTACGATAAAGCCACCTATCATCCATATGACACCATATGGTGGCCGTATTGAATGGATTTTGCCTGGTCGTACTAAATTGATAGCTCATCTTAAAGATAAATCAAGAATTAGACATCGAAAACGATGGTCTCAAGTAAGTGTCGATTTAATTTTTCTTTATATAATCAAATGAGAGTAGGAAGAAAAAATAATTAAAAGCAACTAATGAGCATCAAAATGAAAATAATTATCGCATGAATGCACATTAATTCCCCTCCAACTGATTTTTCTATTATTGTTTTTCGATTTTGTGCAGGTGATGTACATGTATTATTTACTAGGATATAAAATCTATCAGCAAGAACCGGATCGAAGAGATGCATTGATGAAAAACACCTATTTATTGGCATTGGATGGCGACATTAATTTCCAACCGGATGCGGTTTTACTATTGGTCGATTTGATGCGAAAAAATTCGAAATTAGGTGCCGCTTGTGGACGTGTTCATCCTGTTGGAGTAGGGCCAATGGCCTGGTATCAAAAATTTGAATATGCCATTTCTCATTGGCTACAAAAAGCTACCGAACATGTATTTGGCTGTGTTCTTTGTAGTCCTGGATGTTTTTCATTGTTTCGTGCATCGGCTTTATCTGATACGAACGTTATGAATCGTTATACAACAAAACCGACGGAAGCCATACATTATGTTCAATATGATCAAGGTGAAGATCGATGGCTATGCACATTATTATTGCAACAAGGTTGGAAAGTCGAATATTCGGCTGCATCCGATTCGTTTACACATTGTCCCGAAGGATTCGATGAATTCTATATTCAAAGAAGACGTTGGGCGCCATCTACCATGGCCAATATCATTGATTTACTGAAAAGTTACAGAAATACGGTTCGAGCGAATGATGATATCTCATCGCTTTATATGCTTTATCAGGCCGGTTTAATGTTGGGCACAATTTTAAGTCCTGGAACGATATTTCTTATGTTGGTTGGAGCCGTCAATAATTCATTCGGATTAAAAAATGAAATATCATTCTACATTAATATAGTTCCGGTTTTAATTTTCGTTTTGGCTGGTTTTTTTACTGATAATAAGAAACAGATTTTAGTCGCCCAAATATTTAGTACGTTTTACGTGATGCTAATGTTGGCGGTACTCGTGTCGACTGGCATCGAAATTTATGACGAATCAATCTTCTCACCATCTGTCATTTTCTTTGTCGGCATGTTGACTGTATTTATTATATCGGCATTAATTCATCCACAGGAATTCACTTGTTTGATACCTGTCGTTATATACATGTTGATGATACCCAGCATGTATTTATTGTTGACATTGTATTCAATTATCAATTTGAATGTAGTCGTTTGGGGTACACGTGAAAATCCACAGACAGTAGAAACTAAACAACCAGTTCAACCAACGCCAAAACAGTCAGATAATTTTCTCCATGATGTACGTCAATATTTTCGAAATCGATCACGAAAATTGGAAGTATTAAATTGTGTATGTTGTGGATCATCTCGCAATGATGATGAACTTTCATTGCTACATGAGATAAAAGATTCAATGCATCAAGTCCGATCTGATATGGACAAAATGAAAACTCAAAATTCTGTAGGTAGTAATATAATTCGTCGAATGAGCCTTTGGAATAGGCGACGATCAACGATTGCCGAACCAACACCGGACCAATTAGAAAAAGATCCATTATTGGCAGATGATGCTCAAGACATTATAGATGAGGACGTTCTACTGAATATCGCCAATCAACCAATCAGTGATGAAGTGAAAGAGGCTGAAGAAATCTCCAATCTACGACGACCAAGATGGATACATAATAAACATTTGAAAAATGCCAACACTCATCCAATCGATGAAGAGGAAGAAAAATTCTGGACATTATTTATTGAAAAATATCTAAAACCATTAGACAAGAATGAAGAACATGAGAAAAAAGTAAAATCTGATTTGATTAATCTAAGAAACCAGGCATTTTTTGCATTGAGCATTATCAATATTATATTCGTTCTGTTTGTTTATCTTATGCAATTGCATAAAGATATTTTCAGCTTTGAAATTACACTATCACAAACGCAGAATGGTACAAAAACGGTACTAATCGAAGATGAAGAACATGATATTCCTATTTATGTTACAAAAAAGATTGCCATGGATCCTGTTGGCTTTATATTGATTCTATTTTTCGGCGTAATCATCATCATTCAATTTATCGGAATGTTGTTACATCGAATGGGAACGTTAACTCACCTGCTTGCATTTACCGATCTGAATTTCTTTCAAGTTCGTGCCGAAGATATCAAAGAAAAACGACAATTGGATCAAAATTCATTGCAATTAGTTCAATCAATCATGAATGATACTGAAGAATCCGACCAGGATTATGGTCATTTTGATATGGAAGAATTTTTCCTTCCCGCCATGTTAAGAGTGATGGATCCAGATACTGCATACGGTTTGTATTTTTTAAACAATTTTTCATTACAAATAAAATGACTTTTGCTGTTTTTTCTTTCCACATATCTATACAATAGAAATGATCAAAAAAATGAAACCAAATACGAATGTTTCCAAGAAAAAATTGGGTGCAGAATTATCAAGAAGAAGCTCAACATTCGTCGGTCGTAGTACTTTCTATACGATGCCTGAAGAAAACGATGAAAATACTGATGACAATAGTTATGATAAACAACATTTCAAAGGTATAAACTCATTATTCTAATATGATTAGAATTCTAAATCAATAATTTTTTTTTTGCAAATATCTAGAAAATGTTTCCGATTCTGATTCGATCGATATGTCTATTTTTAGTCGCGGATCATCACCGATTAGAAAAGATGCACCCATATCAGTAGAAAGTGATGATTCCACATATCTTTGAGGCTTTTATCATTGTCCAATTTAATTTGTTTTTGCCAATAAATTTTAAATGTTTATTCCTTATTCGATGATGATTACCATTTAAAGTTCATTTCATGGTATATGTTTTTTTCAATAAATATAATGGTTAATACGTAATTTAATTCAAAACAATGGTACAGAATGATTGGTATGTTTATTATTATATAACCATTTTTTTGTATAATTAAAAATTCATCAATAATCAGAATACGAAAGTGAATGATCACTATAACAGACAAAGACCGATAATAGAATAAAATCGAGTTTAACAATAATTAAATCTTATCTTAAACTTGGCGTTTGAATTTCAACATTTCTGCAGTTATTAAATATAGAATTGAGTTTTGATATAATTTTTTTGTGTGTAACAATATATTTGTGTTTGCATTGTTTAACATTTAAATGATAAAAAATTCAATGCATAAAAACATAATCTTTTTCAAACAAATTAATCTGTATTGATTAAATCGTTCAGTTTTGGATATATTGGAGTCGGTTCATAGTTTGGTCGAAATAATGTCCAAGTTAAACCATTCTCATGGCCACCGTTTCCACCAGAACTGGGCAATACAGTGTAGCCAAGTTGATGCAATTTATTCAAAACACGACAAGGTGCATCTTCAACTTTGAATACGATTGATTTTCCATAAGGATCATAATTGACTTTTGTTTCCTGATTGATAGCTATTCGATCTTTTTTTCGTTGACACAAAGCTTCCATTTTTTCACGAAGTTTTTCCGCTTTTTCTTCATTACGACAATCGATCAATTTAGCTTCACATTTACGTATTCCTTTATCCAATTTATCAGATTTCTAGAGAATATAAAAAAAATTAAATTTATAAAACATTGTAAACAATCTAACTTACGTCATGTTTTTTACGATGACGACGACGAGATAATGTTAGAGAATTTTGTTCATTTGATTGCTGCTGGTTACCACCACCGGTCAATTGCTCATGAAGAATTGAATCTTCCGTTGAAATGGCTGTTGGGCCATAAAGCGCATCATAGGAACTAATTATGACAAAAGACATTTTTTGTAAAAAAAATCGAACAAACAATTGATCACTTGATGATGAAAATGAAAATGAAATGAAAGCTTTTCAACAAGTGTTTGGTTATTTATCTTTTTTCATTTATAAAAACTGATCAACAACAATGATAACTTGACAGTTGTCGAACCATGGATACAAGCGATATAACGTCGCATTGTTTAGGATAATATTGTAGTAGTGGCATGACGATGATAATATCGAAATATGACGTCTATGACGACCGGTCGAACTTGTTTTCCATTGTCAAAATGGATGTTTATCTGAGTAAATTGTTACATCAAACGTTCAACGATGATTCATCGTCAATATACAGTAATTTGACACAGAAAAAATTATGGTACCAAAAGTATGACTCATCATCCATGAAATGACATCAATGATAAATCATTAGTCAATGTTCAACGATATCCTTGGAAATGTTGCAAGATCGATTCACGAAAAAAAAACAATTCATTGGGATGTTTATCTGAGTAAATTGTTTTTCAACGATGATTCATCGTCAATAAAACAGAAAAATTATGGTACCAAAAGTATGACTCATCATCCATGAAATGACATCAATGAACAATTGAATCGATGAAATGTTGCAAGATCGATAAAAACATTCAGCTTCCAAAATTTTTCAAAATTTTATAAACTGTTATTGAATCGATGAGTTAATAGGTATTTTCGGTTAATAGGTGGCAGTAATTACATTAGCAAAAATGAACAATTTAAATTTTTGTAACAAAATTTTTATTATTGATATTCGAATCATATTCGTTGATTTATATGACATTGAGATAATATCATAAATATCAATTCATTTATTAAAATTATCTCTATCATCGAAATAATTTCTTTGAAAATTGAAATGCCAAATTTTTCGAATAGGCAATATTGTGTGTGTTTGTCTGCTTGAATTTGAAATAAAAATAGCGACAGGTAAATTTTATGAACCAGAATAAAATTAAACGCAAAATTTGAGGTAAATATAGTTCATCATTATGAAATTATTTTTTTTTTTATTTAACGGGAGAAAAAAAATGACAGTAAGTAGCGTTAAAATATTGCCTATCTTAAATGAACACCTACACGAACAGGTGTACAGGTGTCTTTCTTCAAACAAAATGTCATAAATACGTAATAGTTTTTTTCTTGTTTAATATCATCTACACAATCGTACCATATCAATCTTCTTGTTTTTCTATAAAATTCAGAATCATTACCAAATCAATAACAGCAATTCAAGTGCAAAAATTTGTTATTCATGGCTTGTAAAAACAATTTTCGTTATCAATTCTGAGATTGAAATAATTAGATACTTTATGCAATACAATTAGAACAATGAAAAAAAGAATAAAAATATAATGATCTTGACCTCTTATTTGTATGTTTTCATCTTTGATTTGAAATTCTATCAGATCGATGTGTATAAGGTTTGAATTTCTTTTTTTGTTATCCCAATTGATTAAATAGCTTTTGTCTTTCTCGATAAATCACATTTTTATATTGTATTTCTTCATGGATGTGCGTGTGTGTGTGTGTGTGTGTGTCATCAGCAAATTGTTTCTAATGTTAAACTGTCGTTGTTCCGAAGTGGGCTGAAAAAAGAGTAAAAAAGCAGAGAAAAACAAATCATCACAAAATGAACTAAGTAAAAAAATTGAAATGTAATGGAAAAAAAACAAACAAGCCAATCAAATAACAATAATGATGCACTAAGCAAGAATTTTTCAATTTATTTTTCTCTTTTTTTTTGTTATCAAAAACATTTTCCTTTGAGAATCAAAAATTTTTTTTTCCAGAGCAATTTAAATCGACTCAATATCATGTCGAGATAAAAAAAGGCTTGCATTGGTATAACCATTGAACAAATATACTGAAACAATAAATTTGTTGTAAAATTGTGAATATAAAAAAAACTTATAGAATATAGAGCCTGGTTTTTGAATGAATGAAAAAATAACATTCACACATAACATGAATTCCAAAATTTTAATTTGATTTCATACACTTCATTTAATTAACAAAAAAAGTATGAATCCGTTTCTACTCACCATATCGGATATTTTGTGCATTGGTATTTGTTGATGATGATGATAATGATGTGAATGATTATGATGATGATGGTGATGATGATGATGATGTAAATGATTAGCTGTGGTCATATTATTTAATGATAATGTTGCTGATGAATATGATAACACAGGTGATGAAGACGAATATGCAGATGATGATAATAAGGATGATATCGTTGATGGCGATGATGATGATAATGATACTGAATAACAATGATGTTGAGAATTGAAATGATTATGATTTGTTGTAGTTACCGATGTCGAAAGCGTTGGCACTGTTGTAATCATCATATAGAATCGATTTGAATCAGATGATTTAGACATTGCTGATGAAATGGTTGAAGCTATCTGTATAGGTGTAATAACATCCATCTTGGCCATTGTTGTCGTTTCAATTGTTTTGCCATTCGATGATGATATATTTAATATTGTAGTCGTTGTTGCTGTAGGCGCTATTACACCATTTGTTGTTGTGTTGTTTGTAACATTATACGGATTCGTATCCGTTACTGGTATTTCCATTTCAACATGATCAATACTTTTCGAATTTAACCGTTTCAAACGATTGGTGTAACGGGGAAATAATGATAATAGGTTGTGCTACATAAAAACAAATCAAAGAATGTGTAAAAAATTGAACAAAACAAATGAAAAATTGTACATTGAAGAAACATGGATTGATTTTTGTTATTGCAACAGATTCTCTTAGAATACGGTAAAAATTTCTCTTGTTATACATTGATGAAAAATATCTCGCAGTATTTTAAATCTAATCTAACGAATGTAAAGAATTTTCATAAAAAATATGATTATGATTCTAAAAATTAATATGAGGAGAGAAGATCAACATGATGGAAAAGGTGACTTAGTAAGAATAATAATAATTAGACTCACCCGAAAATTTTCGCTCATGAAACAATATACAATTGGATTCATTAAGTTATGAACCATTGAAAGAAAATGTGATACAAAGAATGAGCTATAATATACGTTGTACATGACTTCCGTTTCAATATTCATGATGCTCGGCTCAAAATATAATAGAAGATTGAAAAAATGTATTGGAAGCCAACAAATAATAAATAGGCCGACAACCATTGTTAACATTTTGAATACTTTATTCTTCACATCTAATTGATGCGTATCACGTACGACATCCGGATTACCCGGTGTTACATGATTGACCATATGATACCATATAGCTGAATAGGCTAAACTGATAATCATGACTGGTATAAGAAATGTTAATACAAATACCAATACGGTATAGATTTGGCCATGTAATTCTTCTGACCAAACTTCAATACATTCATATAATTTATGATTTGAAAGCATATATGGTGATACACGTGAAACGAATAATTGTGTCGATGCGAATGTTAAACCAACTAGCCATATCATGGCCAATATTGAGCGTTTACTATAGTGGAATTTATATAATGAATGTACAATTGCAAAATATCTATAATGAATAATGAGGAGAATAAAAAATATATAAATAAAAACATGTGAATGAAATAAAATACGAATGAAAACCGGAACAACGATTATGACATCAATAATGTTAAAGAATCGTACTCTCAAAACAAAAGGCGAAAGAATCAATCATATAAATGTATAAAAGTGTTTAACACATGTAAATAACTGATAATAATAATAATTCTGAAGCAAATTCAAGTAAATTATTGTCAACAACTTCCAATTGTATGATAAAAGAATGATAATTGTCGATAATCGAAGCCATCATCAATAATAAATAATGATTTATCGATATTGATGGATTAATGCCTTGTTTTTACTTGGCCTTACATTTATTTCAAATGCAAAACTTGATGATTATGTGATGAATGTTATGGTTCGGGTGGATGCACCTCGTCGTGTTTCGTTATTTATTTATATTATATTATTATTCTAAACCTAAGGGCAATTCTAAAGATGTAAATTTATCAGTACCAACTATATTATGAAAGAAAATATGGACAGCAAAAAAGTAAGAAAAAATGATGATGATGATAATGATAAATGAGAAGAAAAAGAAAAAATGAACAAAATAACAGGAAATGAGAAAAAAAACAAACATTAGTAGTGCCCATTTCTATTATTCTGCAAATTACTCTTTTTTTTTGTTTTCTTCTTAAAGAAACGAGCTAAATCTAACAACTATGCAAAAACTATAAGGAATCTGTGATGGTCGTCAAATTTTGTATGTATGTATGCGTGTGTTTCGTTGCTCTATTAGTTTTTTGTTTTATTGATTTATTTCATTTGGTTCATTTTCACTCTCGGGACGAGAAAAGAATGGATGAATGGTTGACAAGTCTAATTCAACCAATTGTATATGAACCTGTGTCTTTTTGTATGTGAATTAATAATTTCATCATCATAATGATGAAAATAGATCTACTCCGTCTACCGTATTTTATTTTAATTACATTATTATTTCACTTACCGATCAATGCTGATGATTGTCAATGTCCATACACTAACAAATACAAAACATAATTGTGTAAAATTAACTACCGGACATAATGAATGTGGAAATATCCAATGCTGTAGCATAACGTTCGTATAGGTGAATGGTATACAGAATATGGCCATGCCAATATCGGCCAATGATAGATTAACCAATAGATGCCATATTTCTGTCGATTGTGATCTATCACCATAGAACCAAACGATTATTGTTATTATATTTAATGATAATGATAGAAATGCCGTCAATGAATACATTGTTATTAGAATGAATTGACCTGGCCAAAATTCTAATATAGCAAATGAATCAATATTATCAAAATTACCGAAACCACTGCCACCACCTGTGTCATCATCATCATCATATCCTGAGCGATAAGAATTTTCATCATAAGAAAATGTCTGATTTTCAAGGCCAAGCAACAAAGTCATTTCACTGGTTGTAAGATTACCAAAAAATAATACATCCGAATCCAGATCAATCAGACCGACAATGGATGTATTATTTTTACTGGTTAATTCATTTAGGTTGAAATTTTTCGGATCAAAAATCATGAATCTATTCATTTTAGAATTTATATTCGTATTTTTGCGACTATTTTGGCCACTGAATTCACTCGACAATAATGATGATGATGTAGATGTAGTATGTGGGAAAATTTTATCAAATTTGTTCGAATCAACAGTTGCTTTAAGAAGAATGTTTGGTTGATTCCTTTTATTATAATGATTATCATGTTTTATGCTGTTGTTTTTAATTTTTTTATTGTTAATGGATTCGTTTTTATCATCAATATCGATTGTCGTTGTAGTCGTAGATGATGTGGATGATAATGATTGTGAAATGAATGATGTCAGTAATGATGATTCAAAAGAATGATGATTATGATAATGAGATGATGATAATGATGATGATTGTTGCGTTGCAACATTTGACGATATAAAAATCAATAATATCATAAACAGTATGATAATCATCGTAATTGTCATTGCAATATTATCGCCAAATATTTGAATAAAATTTTCATTTCAAGCATCCTAACAAGAATATTTTTCTCATTGTTGGTAGCACTTTTTTTTGAACGATGATAAAAATATCCAAACGGTTTTAGTTCATATGTTCACAATGTACAAGCAATTTATTTTACTTGGATCCTTTGTGTTTGTTTGTTTGTTTGTGTATGTGTACAAGTAACCAATAATTCTGTAATTCTGTTGGTATAGTATTTTTGTATGTTTGGAACTTGCGCCGTTTTTCATGGTCACAATTATTATATTTTACCGCGCAATTTTCTCTGTATTTCATTTGATAATTGTTTTTCCATTTGCAATGTACATAAAATGATAATGATGATGATAATTTCATTTTGGATCTGTCCATGTTTATACTTATATAAGCCCCTTCAGCAGCTTATTTGCATACATTTTAGTGAGAAAAATGTGAAATAAAATTATGAAATAATTGAAATGCAAAATGTGTTTGACAGTGAAAAAAAAGAAAAAAAAATGTTGTCTATGTTTTCGATTCGACCGGAATAGCAATTAAAATATTCTAAATATACAAACAATTTTTAAATTCTGTCAATCTTTTGGATAATTAGTGACAGCGGAGAAAAAACAAACAGAAACAAAATCATTTAATTCATTTATTGTTAGTCATTTGTGATTGATTTCAAACAAACAAAAAATATTCAGATATATGGAATTCCACCCTATCAGGAAAATAAAGCAAATAGTCAAACGATTAGGTTTTTTTTGTATGAAAATGAAGATGAATTGTACCTAAAAATTCGATCGATAAAAAAAGAATCGAAATTTTTATTCTCATTAATTTGAAAACAAAACAACAACCAATGTAATGAACAAGGAATTGAAAAAATTTGACAACAGCAGTACTGATTATATTTTTCTTAAAGAATAAGATTCACATCCATTAACAAGTCCAGTAATATTTTACTTTATTTTAATCTCATTTTCTTTTCATTAGTCATCAATGAATTTATTAGAAAAGATTTTGTCAATATATGCAAATGTTGAATATAAAGACAATAATGAAAGTATAACGAACTCAAGAATGAACTGAAACAAAACTGTAGAAAATTGTTACTAATTCTATATATTAGAGATTAATCCTGATTTCTATTTAGGATCATCGACAATTCTTCATGGATCGTTGGTTTGAGTTTATTGGTCTGTTACAGCAGTCGTCATTAATCTGTAACGTAAAATAAATGAACGATCAACAAAATGTTTATACATTTAAATATATTCATTATTATTAGGGTAAATTATTGTTTTTTTTGGCTTATTATATCTGGCATAATAGAAAATAAAAGGGATAATTAGTTGATCTTGATTCACTGTTCATTGATTCGAATAATTTCATTATCATCATCAATAACAGTAAAAACTAGCAAAGAAAATCAAATGAGATAATTCCATTTAATTCAATGAAACAAAATTCACAAACTCGGTACATTCTATGAATCACATTTTTTATTTATTTTTTTTTCATTCAGAGTTTTTTCTGTGTTATCGAAAAAAAGGTCACTTGACTTCAAAGTTATTGGATTCTATAGAATTTTATCAATAACAACAAATGTGTTCGAAATCACTGGTTTTGACCAAAAAAAAAAAAAAAAAAAAAAATGCGCCTATTGGTTCGTAACTGAGAAGAATAACTTTCATGCATTTTGCAACATTTCTTTAAAGTTTTTTTTTACTCATCATTAATGTAATTTTATATGTGACATGAAAAAGAATTTGTGTTAAAAATTGATGGATTTTTTTTTTTGAAATAATTGAAAAAGGAAATAAAATTCGAAATAAAAATTTTTAAAATCCAACATTTTTATTTCTTATTACAAAATCACATGAATTTTGATATTTGTTCAAAAATGAATGGCTATATTATGATAATGGATGTAATAATCTTGAAAACTTTCATCATTATCACATTGACAACAGAATTTATTATTTATTTTTTATATGGAAAAAGTTTCTGCGACGGTAATTGAAATTTTCATTTCTGAGTGTTGGATCTACAAACTGGAGTTAGCAAAAAAAAAAAAAAAAAACACGAATAAACACCGCAAGATTCATTCTTTCAAAAAAAAAAAAAAAAAAAATACAATTATCGTGATGATTATGAATGTAAATGAGTGAAGATATTAATAGAAAAAATAGAAAACTCAATGTAAAAAATAAAATTTTGTCTTTTTTGGCTTTTATTCGAAATAATTGTAGCAGAAAAAAATATCGAAATAGAAATAATGACAAAAGTGAACATTCAACAGACAAAAAAAACAGATAAACCAATCGAGATTGATGAATCTGCTCTTAAATTGCATAAAAATTGGAGCTATTTTTCCATGGAAATACAATTCAATTCTAATTGAAATATTTTTCATTAATGAATCAAATAATTTCAATCATGGTGTTGTTTTTCTTTTCACTAGTTTTTTGGTTCGGTTGATTGATATTGAAATTTCATACATTGTATGAAACAATCATCAATATCAATACGGTTGAATTGGTGATATTTAAAATATGAAATTACTTTAATATAAAATCATGATCAGAAAAAAATGTGAAGGTCAACATGCCAATAAGTTTAGGGTGGATGTTGCATGGGTTTCATGTGTACACCTTGCAATAAAGGATATTCCATTTAATTTTGGTTGTTATTTTTGGATTGTTCGAATTGGTTTGTTTTTTTTCTCATTTGTTCATATCCTTGTTTTTCATCGAAGATTGATTTTTCAGATTTTTCATCCAATTTTTTTCCATTATTGATTTTTTTTTACTGTTGTTATTTCGATTTTTAATTCCAATTTTATTTATTTTTTTTTTGATTCCATTTCTTCTATCCTAGATAGTTTTTGAAAAAAATAACAAAATCAAAGAATTGGAAATAGAATTACTGACTTTACTTGGCTATTTGTTTGATTGGATTGGTTGCTAGGCGCATAAATGGACAGCTATATATGGATGTTTAGAATGAAAAAAAAACAATTTTCATTCATTTTTATACAATGAATTGATCGAATTTAATGCTCATGAATTACTGACGACACAATTCTTATCATTTTACTACAATGTTTATGATGATTCGTATTATTGTTGATCATTTAGGTCTTGTGTAAACATTGTTTATTAAACTAAAAATGTAATAATAATAATATATCATAATGTAGTTAAAAGCCATTTATTATGGTTTAAATGGTGTTTTTTTCTTGTTAAACAACAAAATTGTTGCTTTAGATTCATAATCAATCAATTTTCAGGAAAATATTTATATTTATTCATATTATTATTATTGATGATGATGATAATACCAATGATAAAAATTCTTAACTCATGGAATTCTCTTATGATAGATGGCGATACTAACTTTTGGTTTAAAAAAAATTGTTCGCATGATACGAGAAAACATTTTGTTTCCGTTTTTTGACGTTTTAGCTCGAAAATTGTCTTGTATTAAGAGTGAAAATTTTTTTCTTTCAAGTCATTCGTTTGATTCAAATCAAAAACATGTATAATTTATATGGTGTCATGACCATTTCAGAGAAAATCATCAGTAGATCTATTGTTAGACATTCTATACACATGTGGCCAGATTTAAATCGAGCATAAAATTATCGATCAATCACACAATCAATTTTTAAGACTACCGTTCATCATCAATGGAATAGTATTGTTTTTTTTTCGTTTTTGTTGTTGTTGTTGTTGTCGGTGCCATTGACAATCATAATCTTATCGTCGTTTAGAGATGAACAACAAAAAAAAGCCATTCTTTCAAATGTTAAACAGTGTATGATATTATGCAACTATGAAACAGATAGATTCGATTGATCCGTTTCGAATCAAAGCATTAAGATTTTCATCAATGAGATCATATCATATGAATGTTGAAAAAACACATCTCTGTTTCATGTCAATTTTGATTCAAATGTTGTTGTAATTATCTATAGCTTTTAAATACATTATCAATGATTTATCATCAAAAATCATTTAGAAATTGACAAAAAAATATAGGATATTTGCATGCATGGGAAATTTTATCAATTTTGTATGGTAAGTACATCAATGTCAATCAATGGGAATTACGATTGGTTGAAATGACGATTTTTCGGTCGCAAGATCGCGCTTCATCGCCCGTTTATTATTTGCAATCACCCATCACAAAGCTTGCTCTGTTCATTTGGGTATATCTTGGTAAATAATAATAATATATCCAGTCTTCAACTGAAACATGAGTTATATATTTCACAACAATCCACCGATTCGAATGCAAGACGCACATGCTCGAAATAATTCTACATCACATGCTCGTCAGATTTCTGTTAGCTTTTTTCTTGTTATTATTATTATTATTATTATTATTCATTGATGATGATCATCAGCATCAGTGATTTGTCCTTTTTGGTGTCTCTGGTCTCTTTCCTGTATATATCTTCAATATAACAACAACAAAACTGAATTCAATGTGTATGTACATGTGTGTGTGTATGTGTCTGTATATTTTTTTTTTTTCTATTCATCATCAAAATAATGTTTATGGTTTACATAAATGAATTGAAATTGTCATCTTCATCAACAAGACTATAACTAGCATATGTACATTATTATATGATTATATCATATCATTATGATGATTACAGTCATCTTCAATCTATTCAGAATCAATCAATGACAAAATTATTCTAAAATTCCAAATCAAATTATATACCCGAAAATAATTACGTTCTTAATAATAATAATAATAAAATAATAAATAGAAAAAACCAGTGCCAAACTAATTGAATGAATGATTAGTTTTTTTTCAAAAACAAAACTTATCAGGTCTTTAATACATATCTAGCCATATAAAATTTGGCCATTCTATATTGTATTTTTGTAATTATAAACAAAACTAGTCAATGGTTTGTTCATAGATCATCATCATTATTTTCATTTCATTCATCTGGAAAATTTCAATCAGCTGAATTTTCACATCAACAGGTAATAATAAAAAAAATGATTTTTATGTCTTTGTTTATTTTTTATATATTAAGATTCTATTGTCTTGTCAATCAATCTATCATCCTGTTCATATAGTAAAGAGTTCATTCGCACTTTTTTTTTATTCGTACACATATCCCTTCATTAGTTCGAATATATTTTTTTTTTCTCAAATTCATTACATTGAATAACAACCTTGTAGATATATGTTTATCTAAAATCTTTGTAATCCTAAATTTTTTTTTTTGCATTTGAATGTTTGATAACATAGAATTATATATAGACAATGATGACATTGCGATATGTGACAAAATGATTAAATGATTTTGTGATTAAAGAAACAAGAAAAAAAACAAAAAAAGCTTTTATACCTATTGATTTAGATAATTTTTTTTTAAATTTAATATAATCCAAAGCTTCATACCTGAGAGTTTTATTATAACCATCATCATCATTTTAGGCTAAAAAAATTTTTGAAACTTTTCAAAAATATGTCAAAGTCATTATTGGTTTTATATATATGTTTTATTTTTTTTTTATAAACTCCAAACAAACATTATTTCTAAATACACTAAAATAAATAAATAAATTCTTTTTATTTTTTTTTACCATTTTACCTTTGAACATGAGCAAGATTCAACATTGGCATAATAATAACAATCCGAAAAATCCGGATGAAAAACAACAACATTTGGTGGCTTCTATACGACGGAAATTGCAACGTTTTATTTTGATTACAATTGAATGAATATATTGTTGAAAACATTCATCTGAACAACTTACTATATCGATTTGCTTCGATCGAAACGAATACAAAAAAACAAACAATTCTCCAACCTTAACAATAATAATAAACCAAAAGCAATAACCAATTTTTTTTTCACCGTCATCAGAACAAAATTTTTTTTTATTGACAGCTGTCACTGCTGTTATCCAGAAAAAAATCCATTTAATCTAAATTTATTTAGATCACCATTTTTTCATAAAAAATCCAACATATAGAACAAGTTGTTTTTTTATTATTACTACGATATTTGTTACATCTTTTTTTTCAATTATATATTATCCACATCATTCGCATTTTGAAGCCATAAAACTTTCATCATCATCATCAGTCAGTCATTCTACATACATAATCCTAATAGTTTTCAAAACCTCATTTTCATCTATGTCATCATCATCCTTTGTATTCCTATTGTGCATCATTTAATTTGAATAATTATCATTTGAAAATTTGAACATAAAAAAAAATTTGACAATCATCGTCATCATCGATAATTGAAAAATCGGCCATCAATGGTTTACAAACGTGTATTCTGTAGAACTACAGACTATTCTGGGATTCACCTAGATAGTGTTAATCGTAATTATCGAAAGCGATACGATCATCTGCAATTTTCATCAATTAATCAATATTGTGCCTTATGCAATTGCTCAACCAGTGTAAAGTGCAATGATTTCGATAATCGATCTTCAAAATCTGTTCTTTATCATTGTTTCCAATACTTGGCCATTATTATTCTTTTGATTATCGTTTCGATCATTGATTCATCATCATTGGTTGTGAATAGTTTACCCACTGGTATTGCTATAAATTCATCTTCATCACCGAATATTTCCGATGTAGCTATTGCATCAGCAAACCTTCGTGCATGGTATGCACGTTTGGACGCTGCAGCTGTAGCAAATGAAGAAACGACTAATAAATTCCGATACAATCGGAATACGATTTCAGTCAATTCTATTGATAATCATACCACTCCATCGACAATCAGTGGATTTCGTTTGATTGGTGATTCAAAAGCTATTGTTTCCAATGATGAGTAAGTGTGAATCGTTATAGAAATTATTCTAAATCTGTGAATTTATTTATATTTAAAAATAGACGTTATGCAATCAAAGCCGATCACAATGTCGAAGTACGAATATTTGGTAAAAATTTTGGTAAAGATTTCCTAATCGGATTTTCTCTTATCGCACCGAATTCCAAATCAGTGATATGTTCAGTGGATGAAAAATTCGAGGCTATTCATACCGATGATCAAACAGCTTATTCATTTATTAAACTTCCAGCTAGTTCAAAACCATATCATCTTTGTTATTCGGAAAATCTGACACAAGATGATTATTTTTACTATGCCGGTAATGATCTTTCATATCAGATTGAATCTGAAGCACCGTTATTGCCAATGTGGCTGCATATAAGTTTGTTGCTATTGTTATTGGTCATGTCCGGTCTATTTTCTGGCCTAAATCTAGGTCTTATGGCATTGGATAAAAATGAATTGCAAGTCATCGAACGCTGTGGAACCGAAGATGAAAAATATTATGCCAAAACGATTTCACCAGTGAGAAAACGTGGAAACTATTTACTTTGCACTTTATTGCTCGGTAATGTTCTTGTGAATTCAACATTGACCATCCTATTGGATGATCTCACATCGGGTATATTTGCTGTGATTGGTTCAACATTGTTGATTGTAATTTTTGGTGAAATCATTCCTCAAGCACTTTGTTCACGTCATGGGCTGGCAGTTGGTGCTAAAACAGTTTATGTTACCTATATATTCATGTTTATTACATTTCCTTTATCATATCCAATATCAAAATTATTGGATAAAATTCTTGGTGAAGAAATAGGTAGCGTTTATGATCGTGAACGTTTAATGGAATATATTCGTGTTACAAAAGATTATAATAATCTCGAAGTAGATGAAATGAACATAATTTCTGGTGCGTTAAAATTTAAAAAAATTTCTGTCGCCGATATTATGACAACCATCAGTGATGTGTTTATGTTACCATACGATACAATACTCAATTTTGATACGCTTACTTTGATCAATAATTCTGGATATTCGCGCATTCCTATCTATGAGGGTAATCGTGATAATATTGTCGGTTTATTACATGTGAAAGATCTTTCATTGATCGATCCAGATCATAATTTACAATTGAAAGTAGTGCTTGATTTTTATTCACATCCATTGTTAAAAGTGTTCGAAGATGATAAATTAGACAAAATGTTAAATGAATTCAAACAAGGTCAATCACACATGGCATTGATTCAACGTGTCATCGATAATGGCGTCAAGGATCCATACTATGAATCGATTGGTATTGTTACCCTTGAAGATGTTATCGAAGAATTGATTCAGGCAGAAATCAATGATGAAACAGATGTAATTTGTAAGTTTTCATGACCAAAAGTTTTTTCAAATAATTTCATAAATGTTTGCTTTATAAAATATAGCCGATAATCGTCGAAAACAGAAGCGACAAAACGTTCAAAGTCGATCGAATTATTTGGAATTCATTCGTGAAGCGGGAATCAAGCAAAAAAATGATGATGATAGCAGCATAATGGAATATTCAAACAATGTGGCTATTTCACCTCAGCTTGCATTAGCTGCCTTCCGTTTCTTAGCTTCTTGTGAGTTTTTTTTATCTCATTGTAATGCTTTTTATTTTATTATGCAATAATTTTAGCTGTCGGTCCGTTTTCATCAAAAAAAATTTCAGAAGAAGTTTTCAAACGTTTGATGAACAAGAATATTTATTTCGAAGCCAAAGGCGAACCACGTAAACCTAATATTGATAATATTTCATCTGAAAATATCTTATATAAACGTGGACAACCGGCTGATTATTTCATCATGATATTGGAAGGACGTGCCCGGGTAATTGTAACCAAAGAAAACCAAGAATATGATGCCGGACCATTTTGTTGTTTTGGCATCGGTGCTTTAACGTCTTCTATACCCAGTACGGATGATGGAACTATTGTACATAATCGTTCATTCAACGAAGAAAGTGGTAAGTTGACTGATAAAAAATATCTTTTTCATTTCAATTGATAATTTTCTCTAAAGCTGATAGTCTTAGCCAGAAAAGCAGCCAGCAAAACATTAGCTTTCAACAATCGGACATATTCATACCTGATTATACATTAATCTGTATGGAAAAAGTAATCTACATGAAAGTAACAAAAGATTTTTATCAAATGGCATTGAAAACGACCGATGTGGTAACTAAACGTTCTAGTGATCTACAAAAATCTCAATCACAAATCGAAGAAAGTGAAGATTCCTCAGAAAATACAACAGCTGCAGCTCCATTGATACCCGTTGGTAGCGCAAAAAATGATAGTCTCTCACGGCATCTGAAAAATCTCCCACCAAAATATCGAAAAATTAGTATGGGTACAAACTTGGCCGATTCAAGTTTGATGCCAAAATTCAAAGATAAAACCATTGTAGGCAATCAATTTGATCAAGATGATGAACAAATGATGAGTGAAACGCTCAACAATCCACGTCTTCGATCACAATCCAAAAATAGTCTTATTGTCGATCAAATACGGCCAACTCGAATTGTCACTTCAGAAAGTCTTAGTAATCGCCGTTCTTCACCAACGGTACGACGATCCGATGCGATCGAATTGCTCACTGGTAATCATTCACCACGTTCATATGGTTCAATCGAAAGTCTGACCAGTGATTCTCAACACCAGCAACAACAATCATTGTTAGATAACCTACCAGTTCCACAGCCGCCATCATCACTGGCACCAGAATTAAAGGAAAAATTAAGCCTATTACGTAATGGAAGTTTATCGGCCTTAGATGAATCGGGTGATCACAGTCAAACGACTGTCCCTCAACAAACAAAGCCCAATGATGAACATACAACATTTTTATGATAACACAAACATAAATATTTATAAATGAACAATATAATCGCTCAATTCTTTTTCCGGTTTATTTTTATTTTCCAGAAGTGATTCAAAAAAGGGTTTTTCTTGGATTCATTTGCTTGGAGAATGCAAATTCTGAATTCCGTTGTTTGAAAATTGTTTTCGTACTGGTCATATTTCATTATTACTTTTGTTATTGTTTTCGCTGTAAATAATTTATGATAATAATAATGATTGTTGAATCAAATTTATCACATTTCCCAGAAATATCCACGATATTAAAATGATGATTCATTAAAAATAATCATAATTGACCATCAATGTTTTTTACGATCAATTTGTGGTTCCAGAAAATGTTGACGGCCATCTTTCGGAAGCCGAAGGTATAGATGACAAAATTCATAAACAACACGAGCAAAACGCATTTTAAAAACTTTTCCGGCTAGACAATATTCGCGTATCAGATTCGATGGACAAGTATCAATAATATGATTACAATCATACGGTTTAGCCCCATACATACGGCACCGTTCAAATGTTTGATCACATTTTTCACGTCGTTGCATCTCCATTTCATATGGTGTGTATGGCCGTTCACAAAAACATTGTTGATCACGTTCTTTTGTCTGACGAAAACCGGCCGGACATTTAAAACGGCTTCGTTCATATTGATCTTTTGGTTTTGGCGGGAAAAATACAACGAAAAAATTATCATCGGCCGCAACATTTTTTCCATGTTGATTGCGAGACGGTGACGATCCTTCCAGACTGTTATCCTCAAAATCACACGGTCGAATACAGAGATATGTTTCACGATTATCTTGGCTATCTATTGGACATTCTCGTGATTTCCATGCATTTGCTATTATATCCATTATGATGATCACCATGATTGTGATGATGGAAGAAAAAATAGAAAATAAAATTTTGTTTTTAATCAGAATAAAACTATGAAAAATAAATTGTTAACTCTTCATCGAATCGATTTTAATTCTTGAGAACAGAATGAATCAATTGTCAATTGTCATAAAACACAAGTTAATTGTATGTAATGAAATCTAATATGCATGAGTGATATCATAGTAACATTGAAAAACACTTGCCAATTGAAATCGATAGGCTAGCCACTATGAATAATGAAATCCACAGCGATATCATTCGTATTCTTATTATTCGGTTGTTATTCGTCATTTTCATTATTTCACAATTTAAAAATTTTCACTATCGGTAAAAAACCGTATTGATATAAATAAATTGGATAAAAATCGACAAATTTCGAATAAAATCGATGCATTTTTATAGCAAAAATTAAAAAAAATATCAAATAGAGTTCGAGGTGTATCATTTTTTTTTGTATGCAAATGAAAATGAAAACGGTGACAAACAAATTTTGGAATTGTCATGATGACTTTTTCTATCTCTTTTTGTGTATTGATGTGATCGGTATGAACTATATTATGAAGTATCTCTTCAACAAATGATAATTGTTTGATCATCAAACACGGACAACCTGGCCAGGAAGAAAGCCCACTAACCCAGTTCGATAATAATGTTGATGATCGAAATTTATTTCCGCATATACAAACATCAATAATTACCCTCGATCATGCAATCAAAATTGATAGAACACAAACACACACACACACACAATCGATGAGAAAAATCATCAACGTAATTCCCCAACCAAAAAAAAAAGTTCGGACAAATGTTTCCTTTTTCACCAATATATATCAGATATATCAGATCAAAGTTGATTAAACTGCTAGAGTAGAGAAAAAACAGAAACACTTATACAAACAGCAGATAAATAAATAAAATATTGACCATATGAATTCGATTCGACGATGAGAAATTGGATCGACGATATAACAACAGCCACGACGACGGCAGCTCAATTATATGGTAATTGGGATCGCGACAATAATATATAATATGAGATCATATCATGACCATCATCTTTGGAGCCGGTTCGTTTAGCCGTCCATTTCATCAGTTCATTCATTTTCATTGCTTCGTTGTTTTTTCCAGTCACCATTATTCATAAAGTTCTTGTATTGGATCAATTTATTCAATTTTATCATGTAAAAAATACCTTTATGACAATCTAGGTCTAAGTAAAGTCCAGCACCAAAGTTTTACAATGTCTTTTAATGAAAAAAAAAATTATCTAGCCATCGTCTCTGCTACCTATGGTTTAATCAACTGTACGAATCAAGGGAAAGATAGAGATTGAATAAATCGATACATCTCAATAATTTTGACTTTTTTTGTTTGACTCCAACCTACTAGATAATCCTTGTCTTTCTCAACAGGTCATTCTATTTTTTCAATTTTTGCTTCTCGTCTTAAAATTTTGAGATAACAGTGCTTCGTAGTTTAACATTTCAATGGGCGGTTGTCACTATTAGTATTTTTTATTTTTTAAATTTCAACAATCATATAAGCTTAAATTTAGAAACAATAGAAAATATGCAGGATTAGAAGGTCAGTTGATGGCTTATGGATTTTCAATCTAGTGAAAAAAAAGACAGATCGTATGGAATTTTGTCACATGTTTGTCTAGTCAATTTTTTTTTCTTCGCAAATGTACATAGTGCTCTGTCTTGTAAATATAATGGCCCATAACCATATAATTGGTCAAAATTGACTACTTTCGTCCTTCATTTGAATTAATACTGGTCTAAGATAATGGCGACAAAACAAAACTATTGAAACACTCTACTAAAGAACTATAGCCATTTATCATGTCCTAAACGTTGTTGTTGAAACTACTACATAGTACTAACACAAGCTCCAAGTCTTTCAGTTAACAAAAGTCAGTCTTTTCGAAATGTATAAATATTCGGTTTCTAATGAATCATCTCTTCATTTTACTTCGATGTCATCATCGTGAATTTCAATAAAAAATAAAACTTCATTTTTACAAAGTATAGAATCAATCTGTTTAGGTTATCATTGACAAAAATGACAATTTTGATTATCAAATTTTACGATCATCATCGGTCAAATCAACGATTATTGCATCATCATATCATATTCGTAATCTATTTTGCATGGCTGAGTTATACTACCATAACAAACACTTCATCATCGAATGCATTTATTCTTTCATCATCAACTACATCTAAATCGAATATTGTTCGAAGAAATGTTCCAATTGAAACAAAAACGATAGCTGTGGAGAAATGTTATTTTCATGCCAATGGTAGAACGGATGGCAAATCAATATTTTATGGACAATGTATGAGCATGAACGGACCTGATGGTTGTTGTCTTGAAGGCCATTATAAACCCGGTGTCTGTTCAAATTTGGGACATATTTGCTGTACAAATCCTGATCCAGAATGTAATGCTATGTTCACGAATAAAGGTGCTTAATTTTCTATCACATCATCTTATTTTAATCTAATAAATTTTTTTGAATTTAAAAACAGGTATAACCAAATCTGCCTTGAGACAATATGGTCATCTATTTCGGATGATTAATCAAGATCAAACTAAGAATAATAATGGTCAAAATTTGAATGAAAACAATCACAATGGTCAACAACGAGCAATTCGTTCAAATCCTAAACAATTCAAATACATTTACAATACAAATTTTGAAATTGTCGAAATGCCTGCACATATGCAACTGGATGCTGTTACTTTCGTCGTTGATGCATTAGATCGCTTCAATGGTGATTTCGATGATGCAGCAGATTATCTTTGTCAAATGTTGGATCAAAAATATGAAGAATCAAGTCCATGGTCATGTACAATTGGCCGTGATTTTGGTTATTCAGTGGATCCATTACCCGGAAAATATATGCTATTCTACATTGGCAATGATGTTCGCGTTATGGCATTCGTTTCGAAGAACCAAAACTAATCAGTCGGCATTTTGATAACCAATAGTTGATGATCGACCATCACTTTCGATATTGTTGACACCTTTTTTCGAAAATTTACTGACAATCATTATAACACTAATAATTGTTGTTGTTATTGTCCAGTGGCGCCAATTGTCTGAACATGGTCTTACAGTCTATTGATCAAATTATGGTCACCATCAAGAGAGAACAAAGGACCGCTGTGACAGACGTGTTTTCTAGTCGAAACAAAACGAAAAAATATGTCCCTTTTTTCTGCTGTTTCCCATCGTAGATATTTTAGTCTGTCTGCCATAGCGATTTATCACATATTCTCTTTTATCTCATCGTCGTGTCGTTTTTTTATATATATATTGCCTGCACCAATATAGCCATCACCATTGCAATCGATTTGAGAATCGTACAAGCCGAATGGAAACACAAACACACACACACACAGTAAAAGATAAAGCGATCGAATAAAAATGTAAAAAATTGTTTTTTATTCTGTTAATTTTAATTTATTGAAAATTGTCACATCATATCATTTGAATAAATTCTGATGGGATGTTTTTTAAATTAATAGAATATGATTATGACGAATTTATTCTGGGTGGGGTTTTATTTCGTGCACACTTCTTTGGGAAATGAACAATGATCTGTAATGAATGTAAAGAGAAAATTTTAAAAATGATATTTTATTCAAAAAAAAAAAAAAAAAACTCACCATAACCAGCAACACATGGACAAGCATCAACATAAGTATCAGCCTTTACCTGTGCATTAGTACATTTTTCGCCTACATTTGCTTTTGGTTGACAGGAACGAAGTTTAGTCTCACGATCCAATTGACAGCAACCGGAACGACAATCACGTGAATAGGTACAGATTTCGCCAAGTTCACGATGTGTCTATAAGCATCAAAAATTGATATCAAATTTGTCATCATCAAGACGATACAACTAAATGAGAAACTTACACGTCGAAGACCTTCATCGATTGGATGCTGCATCATATCATCATCACCCCAATCTTCTAATTCCATCCATCGTTCTTTTGCTTCTTCAAGATCTTTTCCCAATACTTTAAATTCGGGTTTATTTTGCTGAGCACCGGAATCGGAAATTTCAGCATTGATCATAACGAATGAAGTGGCAAATAGAGCCAATGAAAATCTGTACAAATAATCAGCCATCATTTTGGATGTATGTAATGTAATGAAATAGTGTGCAACAATGAAGAGCTTTAAAGATTATATGATTATGGCACGATAGAAAATTCAATTTTCAAAAATGCTGATCGTCTAATGTTGGTTATAGATAGAGGTAATGATCAATAATGCTGATTTTTGGGAAATTTTCATTGATTAAATGAATGATTATATTATCAATACATCAAGGAGTACATTTGAAGGCCAACTAGTAAACATCTGACGAACAACAACGATGACCACCTTTTTCACAAAATAGCAATCGAATTGACGTTTTTTGTGAATGAATTTAATTTCATTTATTAAATTATTATTCAAAGTTACGACGCCATATAAAACAACAACAATAACAAGATGCTCGCAAATAGGTCTCTTATTTAGAAAAAATATTGTGCTTTTTCTCTTCTCATATGTCTTACCATCAATATCATCATCAAGATTTCAGGTATAAAAGCAGTGGTCGATGCTGAAGAAGACACACTATTCAAGTCGAAACAAACCTTCGTCAAAAACGATGATAGCTGTGAGCAACAGGTTACACTCAGGCATACACTTGATCACGCGATTCAAAAACATTTGAATGATAAAAGAAATAAAAATCTCTTGGAATGGATCGACTTTGAAACACTCAATTCATAACGTGCTCATCCTCATTGTCATTAATGATGGAAAACGAAACAACAACAAAACCATTGACCATTGTCATTTATTAACATTGAATTTTTATTTCTATTTTAAAAGAAAAATAAAAAAATCACAGCTTAAGAATATATTTATGATAATGAGATTTTTATGACTAATATTTATTCAATAGAAAATCTTTATGGTCGTCACAGTCATCATCATTATGTTCATCATGAGGTAATAATGATGATGTCGGCTGAGATGCTAATAATAAAGATGATGAGCTAGAAACAATTGGAGATGGAGAAGACTCATCAATTATTCCTTGATACCACGGATCAAATAATTTTCGTGTGAATGGGCGACAATATTGTCGAACACCATCCTTCGTCGAATCATTTTGCAAATGAAACCAATTTTGTTTGATAAATTCGAAATCGATTTGATCGCCATCACGATAACGAAGTTTACCATCGATTGCTACGGTTGAGTTTTCAGTAGATAGAATATCATTGAAGCTATCTGTATTGGAAGTAAATAGTTCTAATTCTTCTGATTTAGCTTCTGAACGAAGACAGTAGCAAAAATTTATCGGATTTGGAGTGCATGGCAATTTATCATTGCATTTGCGGCAATATTCCTTCATATTTCGACTATTGGCTATTTCAGAAACTTTCGATTCTTTATTATTCAAATATTCTAAGACTTCGTTCATGTAATCTTTAGTAATCGTATCTAATTCAGAATTCAGATAGATTTTGTTACCAACATTGTTTTCGTACATGAAATCTTCAGCCAAATCAGCATCAATATCATTTGAAGATTTTGGCCAAAAATCTTGACAAAATATGTCTCCATTATTCATAAGAAATGCTGTTGAAAAGCAACTGGAACTTTCTGTCAATGTTTGTGGTAAAAATTGCATACCACGAATAAAATTTTGATTTTCAGAAATGATTGGGAATAGTTTATTAATTGAAGGCGGACAATCCAAATAGAATGGAACATGTAACATTTTTGGCTGAATGTTATCGGAATTGAGTGTCAGAAGGCATGTTTTGATATGATTCGAAGCCATTAACATAAGAGTATCACAGGATTGATTTGATGGTATTTTAATCGCCAACAATCGATTTACCAGTTTATCCGAAATCATGTGTTTGATTTGAAATAAATTCTTATTTGGATATCTAAGGTCGAAAAAATTGATGTTGAAATCTGATGTGGTAATAAATTGATGAGGGTCGACAGGGTTAACATGGAATGTCTGAAATAATTCGAATGGTTTGAAAAAGACAAATTCTTTAGAGTTGATTAAGGGTTTTGGTTGTTTTTTTTCGCCGGACATTTTGACTCGAGTATCACCTAACCAGATATTCTCGTGTGTACCATATAAATAGAGAAAGGGGTTGAAATTTTTCATATATTCTAAATGAATGAACTGATTACGTGGTTGAAAAATGTCGACATTTATCGTATTCTCCACAACCAGAGTATGTTTTTCAATATCACTACGATAGATTATTGGATTATCGATATAAGTGGTTAAAAATTGTTGATAAAAATCTGGGCTTCGATCCCATGTGTTTAAAAGCGAATCATGTGAAGGAAAAAAATGAAGTGAATTGAAGCGGTTGGTAATAGGGCTTAATCTATCTTTGATTCCATAAGATGATTCGTATTTAAATATGGCAAAGGATTTTCGAGAGTAAGTTAGAAGCTCGATCTGGTCGCTTTTTTCATAAAGCCGTAAACCTAAGATATAATCGTTGGTTAGTTTTTTGGTACAAACATCATCAATATCATATACAAAAGGATTGACGGAAGAGGATTGTTCGGCTGTAAATCGATGACCTCCATTGTTTGTGTTGTCGGACTGTTTAAGGTTGAGCACATTAATTTGGCCATGCTTGGATGAAAATAAAATTTTTCTTTTTGGACAGAATGCTAGACAATTATGAGCAGAAAATTTTGCATGGCTATGATCATCATTATTGATAAAAAATGGCAATGTCGGTCGATCGATTCGATATGGCAGTCGTTGGTATTGTTTGTAATATATATCATCGTAAGTGCCGATTCCACCGAGTTCAATATTCAAATTCGGATCGATTCTATTATCATTAGAAATTCGAAGATTTTGACTACTCAATGAATGCCATACCGGAACCAGATACGGAAAACGATTACACCAATCCATATTTTAATTCGGATAATGATTATTCGATTCCATTTAATTTGAAACACGTGATTAATCATCTCATTTATGAACAGTGTGTTGAGTATTTTTCTATCATTCAATTCTCACGTTTTTCATCATTGAATGAAAAAAAAATTTCCATTTGCACTTGATCTAAAATAATACGCTTACACAACATAATAATCATGGACAACAAAGATAACAAGCCGAAAAATCCTTTAAAAGTACAACCGATGATTTACATCTGTGCCGAATGTCATGCCGATAATGAAATTCGTCTCAAAGATCCTATTCGTTGTCGTGAATGTGGCTATCGAATCATGTACAAAAAACGTACTAAACGATGTAAGATAGAGGTTTTTTAATTTTAAAATTGAATTTATTTATTTTATTTTAATTTCAGTGATTGTATTTGATGCCCGATGAAGTCACATGTGGAGCGAACAAATTTTTATTAATCATTTTTCATCAATTTATAATTGCCATCTCATCAATTTTTATTTAATGCCCATTCAGTTTTCCGATATAATAAAAATAAATAAATTACATTATACATTATTATAATTTCTAGTATCGATATTTAGTAGAATAATCTTTTGGTGAAATAACCAGACCACGACCTTTTCGTGCACCACGATAAATTGTTTCAACAATATCAATCATTTCTTGCTTATCCTCTAATGCCCAATTGATTTTATTATTATTACCAGTACCCAAATCGATCATAATGTGTTTGTTTCGGAAGAAAAACATGACCGTACATGGATCATATAATTCGTACATTTTATTAAAATCTGGTACTTCAGTTATGTCGACCAAATAGATGACGGCAAAATTTTTTACCTTTTCAGCAATACCATAAAGGATTTCATCCATTTTCATACAGGTCGGATCCCAATCATGTCCAAAACGAATGATTACGACACGATCCTCTTCGGATAAAATTGCCTGGTCAACTTGCCATCCATTGTGTAAATGTTGTAACATGTAAGACATTTTGAGTATTTAATAATCTTTGCTTATTGAACACTGGAATGAATCAGAATACAAATATTAAATTATACTTTGAAAGGTGAGAAAAATTTACTTTTGATTGCAAATCTATTAATTCGTAATGAATCAAATTCGTGTATAATAATAAAATAAAAATAAGACTGCTTTTTTGAGTTTATAGTTGTAAAAATAATAAATGAATAAAATAAACATTGACTCAAGTCCATCAATCATCAACGCTATCGATACAATCGATATTGAAAAAGCAGCGGGTTTTCATAATCAATGAATGTTGCACGACATACAAAAATGTATCGACAAAGAACTTGGAATTATTTCTATTCTTATTTTTCAAGGAGATGTTCGACATTAGAACAACTGAAAGATCATTCCATTCTTGACCGATTAACGAAATCAAGCGAAGATGTTGCTTCTTTTATCCGTTTCAATCGGATTATTCAGCCGATTGACATTGAACGTTTTCGTGAACTTGTTGCTGATTCAAAAGAAACGGAATTAAAAATTCGGCTAATATGCTGTGAATATGAATATCTTTGCCGTTTAAACTCTCGTACACCTTCAAAAATATCAATTGAAAATATGAAAATTATGCTTAACATGAAATCTTCAGAACAACGTCAAATTTTATTGGTCAAATCTTATTTTCGGGAAACGGTGAAAATGCGTTCCAAAGCTAAAAAATTGATCAGAAGAAAATTAAAGGAACAACAATCTACGTCCGAATTATCAACCGATCTAACAGGAATTTTCGATTCCTCACATAATGACGCCCAAATTCGTTATGGCTTGTGGAAAAATTGTCTGTTCAGTCGATTTACCAAAAGTCCCCGATTGATATTACAATCTGGAATAAATTCACAACTATGGGGTCCAACATTAGCCTTTGATTGGCACCTACCCGAACAAGTTCTAATAGAAAACAATAGCGAAAAAAAGTTTATTGCAAATCGAGAACAAAACATCAAAAAGTTAGCTGATTCAATATTCACTATCTGCAACCATAATCTTAAATCCTTCCAATCATCCTTTAACGTGGTACATTTGAATTTGACCAAAGATCTACCAATACGAATTCTTCCATATCTTCAGAAATCGTTAGAACAATCATTATTAGATCGTACATTTTTCAATTATAACCACAATTCTTATCAAACATTTTTCGGTGATAAAATAGTCTTCTATATCGATCCTTATGCATCAAAAATTTTGACGAACGAAGATTTAAAGATACAACAAGATTTGATTTTTATATTTAATCCTTACTCAGAACTAAAGGGTTTGAAATTGAAATTTATTGAAAATATGTTCGAATATAAGAAAAATGAATCGAATGGTGATGATAGGATACGATTTCGGCGATTGCCCTTACACGATCTGGTTGTAGCTCCAAAACAAAGATATTTAATTCTATCATTTTATATTGAATGCTTAAGACAAGTTATTTTCGATCAGATCGATTGGATTGAAGCTTTGTACAAAAATGTTCCGAAGAAATATTACAAATAAGAAAATTTTCCTAAAAAAGCTGAGACTAATTTTGATAAAAAACATCAAGGCTAAGCTTCCCTTCATTTTCTACCAGATATATGACATCAGCTAATGTTTGTTCAATTTGTGTATCAAAAACGGCATCACTCATTGGACGATATGATTGCCCGAATTCAGCATCATCATCTGGTGGACATTGAAAATGTGGACCGAAATTAAAATTCAGTGAAATATTTTTGAACAAACTAGCTGCTGGATAGTAAAGGCCACTGTATATATTGTTGTATGCGATACCGATTTTCTGCCCATTTCGAAAGTAGACAATTTTAGCTGCTTCCAATGATTTCAATTTAGCTACAGCTTCACGAATTGGTTCGTCTTTTTCTTGAAAATATAGGAACGATTTAAATTTAAATAAAGGTTTATCCTTATATGTTTTTGGCAATATGCTGGTAGCGCTGATCAAATCTTTCGGCTGCGGTAAATGAATTAAACAACCGAGTACATCTCCTACACCATATCCACCTTCCATATAATGTTTACCAATACTTTCATGAAATTTTGTACCCTTTAATGATCGACAAGAATAGCCAAACTTATCATACCCGATAGGTGTGAACAACTGTGCCAATTCTTGTGCCCAGCCTATCCGACATGCACTATCTTCGGACTTATCGATAATTCGTGCCTCATAATACCAAGTACCATGTGATACACCATAAGTCGCCCGTATGGAACTATAGCCTTTTTCGCCCGTCACAGTTTTACGATCTTCAGATATTTTTAAATAATGAGCACGATCATTCATTGATAGCAAAATATTTTCTGGCATCAACTTTCGACACAAAAAACCTGGTATTTGCTTGCCAGCAAATTCGTGCCTTTCATCAAATTCTTTTCGTGAAGGTGCATTATCGTCTGGTTCAGCCAATATGTAACGAAACCCTTCTTTGTTGAAAAGAAATTCCGATGGAAATCCACTGGCTGGTAATTTCGGTATGGATAGTTCAGATTTTTGTCGTTTATTTGTTGGTATCATTTCATTTCCAACTTCCAATTGACCGGTTCGTTTTTTCATACCACGCAATGAACGTGAACTTATATTGGCGTTGGCATTTTGTCCACCATTAAGTTCCTTGAGATTTTTTAGGTTTTCATAGTTTGGAGCAATACGGCTAAGATCACGATCGCGAAGTGTGACATGTAAATTGTTCAGATCATCATTACATACGAATGTATCGCTATCTTTTTGCATTGTTTTTGCGACTGAGGAATGCCAAGTATTTTTCTGCGGCTTCGGTTTATTGGCCAGAATATTCCAATTAACATCAATGAACGGGATAATTTCTTTGTCTTTGGAAAATGCTATCTGTTCTTCAGACGAATGGACATGTATTAGATTGGCTATTGCGGTCTGACAAATTTGAGAGAAATCTGAAATAAAGATGATCATTCGGTTATTAAAATGATTATTACTCATAATTTTCACTACTTACTTGTTGGGGTTCGTTTAAATGATTCTAAACTGTTTGGTGAACATTTTCTACAGAAAAATACATAAGTAGTTAGAAATGGGATCAACCGATGCGCCAATCCAGGATTGACACAACGTTCATGGAACCATTTCATGCATTTAGCACAAAGTAATTCTACTTTGCCTGGATTACGATCTTGGCCACAATAACAATTTTTTGGTTGCAAATAAAACATTTTATTGTTGCCATTGTTGATAGAATTCTCATCCATACCGCATCTATACAATTAGCGTAATGACATCAAAATTTTGTATCAATCAAACATGAAAACTTACTTGTCATTCGATTCACTAGAAACTAGATTACTATCTTCATTATGAAAGCCAACATAACAATCATCAAATTTCATTAAATTAGATGCATCATTACTACTTTGGTCATTTATAGCATCCATTGTGGTCAACATGATCCAAAAATGAATGATTTTCAACAAAATTGAAAAAACTATAGTACCAAAGATTCATGAAACAATGATCATGATTTTTCTACAGCTGTTGCCACAGCGTGTACCGTACATACACAGAGAATAAAGTTTGCGGTGTACACTGCAGGGTTTCAAAAAATTCAATTTTGCTGTTTACCCTGCAATGAAGGGACCGTTCATATACAATGTAACTTAAACTGCAAATTTGAATTTTTTGAAACCCTGCAGTTTGCCCCCCCAATCACTTCATTAATTTTACCCCCATATTAGGATTAAAAAATTTTATTCAAATTAATATTAAATTAATAAAGCAATGACAATAATTAAACAACCAAATTATACATGATCCAATTTTTGTCTGGTCCATAGTGATCCATTTATAAATCAACCAATGACCATGAGCATATGTCCGTCAATCCAATCTTTATGATCCAAGACTAGTTGTCGATCTTAAATAAAGAAATTCGTTAGTTATTTCAATCATTTCAATCAAGAATCGCATACCATGCAAATAAAAATCTATCGTAATGGCCATTCAATTTTCCTTTTCCAAAATGAATCTAGAAAACGAGTCAAGAAAATAGTTATTAGTTTGGGTAATCAATTGAACAATTTACATGACATGATCTCTGATTTTTCCAACTGGCTTGATTCCAGATTCAATTTCCAAAATGTTCACCTAAATGGAAATAAATATTAGTTTTTTGGTCAATCAATTCATTCATTTGCTTACCATTATCAGTTTCAACTATGTGTTTCATTTCGTGAATCTTCGAAAATTAATCATGCTTGTCAATTGCTTCATTGGTTTCAAAACTTCAACTAGCATCAAATCCAATAGGAAAAAGCTCAGATCATGTTCCTAAACCTATCCTATTCCTAACTTAAAGTTGAACATTACCGAGCATTTCTTGAATCTGATGCCACTGAAGACAGAAACCGCCAAATCAATAACAAACATGATGAAAAATCGAATTTCAGAAATAAATCTGGAAAAAACAAAGCGTTATCAAGTATACAATATCCAAACTTACCAAATAGCTATGGATTTTTCTCATGTCAATGAGAAATCGGTAAAACTAGAAATTGAAAGTTAGTGAAATATCATAAAATGAGACAAACCCGAAATATTGGTTAACATTTGTGATGAGTACCAAATAATCATTATAACCCGATAAAATTGAGAATTTCATGATCATTTCATCAAAAATGAACAAGACGAGTGACGAAACTTGAGAAAAAAACGAGCATTTTTGCACAAAGACAGCGAGTAGAAAAAGTCAACACATGAAGTGTTGTGTGATTTAAATGATAAATATAAATATTTTACAACTATAGTTGTAATTTTAAATTCGTTTTTGTCGTTCGATCAATAAAGTCATATTTTGATACTCGAGATTAATTTGTTTAATAAATAATTGGGGGGCAACTTTATAAGTGATCGGACAATTATGGTCCATACCACCATCCTCCCCAACAAATAGGTTTTATAAGCGAGGGGGAGGCAAATTTATAAGTGATTGTCCACCATCCACCCCCAACACTGACTTTTTTAAATTAATTTATGCGCAAGTGTAAATGTGTATTTGATAATTGGGGGGCATATTTATAAATGATTGAACATTATCCTCCCCAACAAATAGATTTTATAAGCAAGGGGGAGGCAAATTTATAAGTGATTGTCCACTATCCACCCCCAACACTGACTATTTTTTAAATTACTTTATTCGCAAGTGTAAATGTGTATATGAATAATTGGGGGGCAAATTTATAAGTGATCGGCAATCACTATCCTCCCCAACAAATAGGTTTTATAAGCGAGGGGGAGGCAAATTTATAAGTGATTGTCCACTATCCACCCCCAACACTGACTATTTTTTATATTACTTTATGCGCAAGTGTAAATGTGTATATGAATAATTGGGGGGCAAATTTATAAGTGATCGGCAATCACTATCCTCCCCAACAAATAGGTTTTATAAGCGAGGGGGAGGCAAATTTATAAGTGATTATGCGCAAACCACTATCCACCCCCAACACTGACTATTTTTTATATTAACCCAGGCGGCCGCGATGGGATTTGAACCGACGTCGAATGTGTATATGCGTGTATATGTGTTAATGTGTGTAATGGGGGGAGGCGAATTTATAAATGACTGGATGATTTTCCCCCAGACCATTATCCTCCCCCATAATATAGTATCCATAAATGGGAATATATAAATGATATAAATCCCAATATCTACAGGAATACAACCCTTTTCGCTGTCCCGATTAGCGCTGTTTCGATATAACGCTGTGCAATTACATTACATTGCAATAGATTTTTACAATGTATATGAAGAGTAAAAATGCATTATGTAAATTATGCAAAAATAACCCCGCTTTGCGCTGTTGTTTCACTTTACGCTCAATATTTTTGGAACGTAACCCCGCGTTAAGCGGGGTTTTACTGTAAATATTGTAAACACTGTAAACACTCTCAGAAGTGAGGAGTGAAGAAGAAGCATAGAAAATAGTTACGAAAAAAATGAGAGAAAATTTGTACAACCAAAGTAACAATGTTGGAAGCATAGAAATAAACCATGCGCTGTAGCCGGGTGGTGAACGATTTATTCGATAGTATCCCGATTTTTTTCGATTGTTTTTAGTTTCAACAAATCACGTGACTATCATGACAATCGATAGTATCCCGATTTTTTTTTTGATTGTTTCATTAAACGATTGTTTTATTGATTTTCGGAATAAATCCGCAAATTAAAAAATTATTATAAGATAAAATAAAAAATACAAATTCAAATTAAAAGCCACAAATTGATGCATTCTTGAGATAAATTATAAAATGAAGCCAGAGAATTTGGATAATCCAATGGATGCCTGTGAATGGAAAAGATAATTAGAATCGGAATTGATAAAAATTGAATAATTGAATATTTCAAGGGTCTTTACTCGGTTATCCATATTCTCGTAAATGATGATGATGACAAAAAGTTGAGATGGCCAGATTGACTTTGACTGATTGATCATTCTGCGATCGTGCACTTGTTAATGCCTAACAAAAGGAATGGTAATTAGAATATGAGTTGATGAAAACTCAATCATTTACCATTCATCCAGAATGTTGTGTTCATCTATGATTTTCATTATTCCCAAGTTACGATCTGAAATTAGAATGTGAATGAGAATTAGAACAAGTCACGTTGAAATAAAGAAATTTACCATTAAATGAAAGATTCATCTGAATATCCAGATCCTTTGATCAGAGCGATGAGAATTCGAATCCATCGAAATGATTGATTTTCATTTTGTGTGTGACGGATGAATGTGGCAAAGATTGAACTTGATCATCAGTCAATAATTATGATTCATTGATTGAACATTTCGAGACAGAGATGAACATTTTAAAAAGTCGATGGCCAAGTCAAAGTGGATGTCAAGAATCAAACATGTCAACAAGTGGCCGAGTTCAAATTGGCAAGTCGAGATGACAGTCAATAAATAAATAAGTCAAGTTGCAATACGAATATGTTTCGACTAATCATAATGTTCATCTCTGTCTTGAAAAGTAGCATCATTGAATCAAAACGTTCAAAAAAGACCAAGTTCAAAACATGCCTTTGAATTTCGTAATGATAATATTACATCTTCAGAGTTTTGACTAAAAGCCTGAAAAAAATGAAGAATAATATCGAAAAAACTGAATGAAATTCAAAATCGGAGGTTAACCTTCCATAAGAAAGCGAGTTTACCATTCTTTGATGGAGGTTAATATATGTAACTTTCCAGTTTAGCCTGCAAGTATGCAGTTTACATTGTAAAGAAGAAGCGTAACCTGGAGCCTGGATTGTATACTGCATATATGGAGTGTTTTTAACACTCAATCTTGAAGTTTACCCTGCTTACTTTCCTCTCTGTGTAATGTACATGCACGGACTTTTCATTAGAATTTGAATTTACGCGCGAGATATCCTGTTTCAACGATATGAAATATTTTCATTGTCATTCAAAAAAAGTCAATGCTAACAGACACAAGTTAATCTAAAATTTTGAACATTCTAAATATTTTCTTCTTATCTTACCGTTATATTTATACTTAGCTGATGGCGAGGATGATTCATGATTTACAACTTAGTATTCATGGTAAGCTTTACGGACAAAAAAAACTCGTCCAATATTCAGCGCACCGCCCATCAAACACGATTTTCAAAGTGTATGAACGATCTAGAATGCTGGAGCCAAATACAATTTTTTTACATTCATGGAATTGTCGATTAACATTTTTTTTCTTATATATTTCAAGTTGAAATTTTGAACTCGGATAAACGACCATCGGCTACTGTGACGTCAACTCATGTTTACTAATTTAACATTACCATTCATCAATCAATGATATACATTTACTTTTATAAATAAATAAAAAATTTCTCTCACACAAAAATAATCTCAAATCATTTAACATAAGCAAATTTTTTTTATCAATTTGACGATCGATCAAAACTAACTAGTCAGTCAACCATCAATAAGTAAGTGAGTAAGTTAGTATTCAAAAAAAACAATCTTTGTATTTGAACTTGATATTCACCTAACAATTCAATTTACCATTTCAGATTCATTTTTTTCGATATATCTCCTAATCTAATTTATTGTTCAATATTGATATGCTATAGTCCTTTTTTATTAATTAAATCATCAATCATTATATATTTTTTTTTCTTTTATAAGGGTAAAAATCAAAATCAACAACTTGTTACATATCACACGACGCATTTTTATCGAATTCATATAAAAAGAAAAAAAAATCGAACTATTGCATTGTACATCCATCATCAATTTGAGAGATTAACCTAACAAGCAGATATAAACCAAAAGCAACGTCATGAATAGATAAAAAACGGTATTAAACTTATTAGATCCATTTATTATCATTCCATTTTCATTATGGTCTTTCAAAAACGATCATTATTTTTTTTTTTGCAACAGACATCATCATACATGAAATTATCATATTGAATCCTCATCGAAAACTAAAAAAAATTTTTCACTATGAAAGTTTTTGCTGGTATTGAAGGGTATGCGATACGAATTCTAAAATTCGAAAATTTTAATACCTAATAATATAATGCAATTTTATTCGACCGACAGTGGCGCTTCATTTTCTAAGGTGGCATTGTTAGATGAAAATGGTTGCATTCTATCCCGTTTGGATGCTGAACCCGGATCAAATATTATGGTATGTACTGATGATAATTTACCTTGTTAATATATAGACAAATTTTTTGATACAATAGCTTATGTCCAAACAAGAATGGGTAGATCGTATCTATCAGATGGTATTAAAAGCAACCCATCAATTACCTAAACGACCAAATGGCGAAGGATATCAACTCGAAAGCATTGGATTATGTTTGAGTGGTTGTGAAAACGAAGAAGAAAACTTAGAATTATGTGAATTGCTCAAATCTAAACATCCTGAATTATGTCAACGATATTCGATTGCATCCGATACGATTGGTAGTATGATGACTTGTAACCCGGATGGTGGCATTGTTCTCATTGCTGGTATGTGTTTTATTTTTTGATTTTTTTTACTTTTAAACATTGTAATTTTTGGTTCCAAATTAGGAACTGGATCAAATTGTTTGCTCATTTATTCAGATGGTAGCCAATCTCGTTGTGGTGGCTGGGGCCATATTATTGGCGATCATGGTTCAGCCTATTCAATTTCTATTCGTGCGATTCGTTATATTATTGAACATGAAGAAAATTATGCACCAATCGAATATGATGTTAGTAATGTTCGTGAAATTGTTTTCGATCATTTTAGAGTGAGTATTTAAAAAAAAAAAAAATGTATTAAGATTAAGATGATGTAAACATTTCAAAATACATAAAAAAACAAAAATTTTCATTATCACACAGATTGACAATTATTTCGATTTGATAAAACCACTATATCAGGAATTTGATAAGTCCTACATTGCACAGCTATGTGCTCGTATCGCTAAACGTATGTATGACAAGATGATAATATAATCTTTAGAAAAATAACTAAAAAATTTTCATGATAATTTTATTTATAATACTGACATTGATTTATTTTGTATCAAATCACAAAATCAGTTGCAACAGAAAAAAATGATCCATTGGCACTGAAATTATTTAATGAAGCTGGCAAAGCATTGGCTCAACATGTGAAAGCATTGTTGCCAAAAATTGTATGTAATCACTTGATTCATCTTGGTCGATTCAACATATCGATAATTTTTTTGCGTTTTCCATAGGAACAAGATGAAATATCAGTGATATGTGTTGGATCATTATTCAAAAGCTGGTCACTGTTGGAAAATGAATTTTTAAATGAAATTGGCCACATTCAATTGAAGCTCAATATGCTTTATTGTAATGCAACCAGCGCTATTGGCGCCGCTTATTATGGTGCCAAAGTCATGGCTAAAATCAAACTACCCATCGATTATGAAAAAAATTACCAAACGTTATGCTCTTATCGTGATGGTCAAAAAGTTTACTAAACAAATATCAATCAACTTTTTTTTTAATATATTTCAATAATTTTTGCCAACTATTTTTTCAAGAAATAAGAAAATTATTTACAATGCATGCATTTTCAAAAAAAAATTATTAATTTTTTCACAATAATTCATCATCACACAAAAAATCAATAATCAATAAAAATAGATTAAGATGAAAATTCATAAAAAAATGACAAAAACATCCAGACACAGATAAAAAGTTTAAACAAATGACTAGTTTTTCAGACATTAATCACATCAACAAAAAACATTCCATCATAGCTGAAAGGTAATAAAATATTTGTGAAATTAAACAATTCTCACTCTTCTTTATTGATTTTATCAATAAAACGTTGTAAATCAACGGCAGGCTTAATTGGTCTTCGTGGCCAAACACGTAATTCTTGAATTTTTATTGTTTGATTATAAAACTTTTCCATTCGCAATAATTGTGGATAAAGTTTTTCTTCAATCCATTCTAGTTTTTAGATATAAAAAATTAAATCGTCTTTTGATCAAAATCTAATGTTAGTAAATGTCAATAACCTACCATAGACAGTATATTCATCGTAAATTTCGCCCAGAGCTGTGATTGCCATTTTGACCAAAGATTTTAATCCATACATGACATTGGCATAATCTTGTAGGCCTAAATATTCATATGAAATTAATATTATTGTGAAAAAATGAATTTGATTTCTCCAAATTCAAATGTCAATTACCTTCTCTGATTCGCCATGGGCTCGTTATATTATGTCTATAGAAGCGAAAAGAAAAAATTTAAAGATACTCCAATGTGAACAATAAAATATGCCAACTGACCTGAAATTATAATCCGTAAGCCATGCTTTATGTTTAGTTACATCATATAAATAATCATCTACACGTTTATTAATATTTTCAAACTCTTGCATAAGCCGAAATACTTTTGATCCAGGAAAATCACAATTAATTAGATGAGAAAAAGTCGGATACTGTGTAAATAATCGAGCCCCCATCGTATTATAGGTATAATCAAGTTGATGAGGACAATTCATAAGTTGATGAAATTTTTCCAACAATTTCGATTCATATTTTCCATTAGTGGCGGTTAACAAATCAATGACCAAGGATGGAAGACCAGACTATCGAAAAGAAATTCAATGAGAATCAAGACAAAAGATTTATTATCAAACAAATGAAATCTTACAGGTAAAAGTTCACAAAGTGTAGCCAAATGATCATAACGTTGCCAACCGGTAATAACGAGACCACGAATTTCTTTAAAACTACTTTCCTGTTCATCCAAAGCTTTCAGCCAGGCGATATTATTATCCAAATGCATTTTAATATTGGGAACAGTCAATGTTTCGCCGAAGGCTCCTGCAAAAAAATACTTTTTTTAGAAAACAAAGAAAGACACATAACAAAACTTACCTTTAAAGGCACTAGCACCCCAAATTTTGGGAAAAGTTTCAGCATAAAACATCCAATTCTGAGTAGGAATGAAACGATAAATGTCATCGACATAAGTCCAAATCATTATTTCAACGCCAATCTTGTCCAGATCATAGGATTTTACGAAATCAGGTGAAAATTGCCTCAGCATGTCATCCCAAATGATGGATGTCACATTATATTTTTCTTTTATATAAGTAGCGATTCTTTTAACTATTGAAAAAATGTTAGATTAAAATTCGGGTCCATTAAGGAAACAATCTTACCATGATTAAGAAATAATTCATCACGTTCTTTGTGTTTACAACGATCACAAATACCTATTTGATATACCTCATCACAGCCAATATGCAGCCATTTCGAATCTGGATGTGCGATCAACATTTGATCGATCATGTTCGTTAATAATTCATAAGTATCATTGCGACTTGGACAAATAGCCTGTGGAAATTCATCCATTTCTCTTAGATGGCGATAATGTTCAAGCTTAAGGAAGAATTCCAAATGTCCCAATGTTTGAACTAATGGAATAATTTCTAGACCATTTTCTTTTGCTAAACGTTTAATATCTTCAATTTCTGATAAAGAATAGGCATTATCAGCCACAGCATGCCGTAAAAGTTCACCAGCATATGGAAATGTATCTTCATATTCCAATAAGATTCCATTTGCACCGGCTTGTCTTAATAATGGAAACAATTGTTGTAAATATTCAACTTTTGGTGGAGCACCTTTTAGATCCAAATGGATAAAACGATTTTTCGGTATATAGGCTTTATTTTGTTGTTCATCGCCCGGTGGATGTATATACACTACTGATTGTCGTCTTATATTGTCATTATCATTATTATAGCTATTGGACATGTAGTTATCAGCTTTTAGGTGTTGATGGTTTCGTAAATTCATTTTATCATCATTGTTGTTATTAAAAGTATCGCCATTATCTTTATTGGAAGCGGCCAAATGTTGCCTTTGATGTTGTTGTTGATTATATTGAAATTTGTAACTCGGTGAGAATAGAGATGAAAATACATTTAAACGTGAATTCTGAATGATTAGAAATTACATACGAAAATCAAGCTATAATTAAAATATAAGACTTACAGTTATAGTGATTGTAATGATCAAAAAAATCAATACGATGGATAATAGCAAAAATTTACGACGCCAAATACGATTAAGAAGACAGAATGAACATGAATGATGATGTGGGTGGTGATGTGGATGAGAATTTGCAAATTTTTTTTGACTCATGTTTGAATGGAAAATTGTTTTTTTCAGAAAAAGGATTAAAAAATGTTACAATTAAAGATTGAGCAAATTAATTTTATAAAAGTAACAATTTTTAAAAACATCAAAAAACGAATGTGGCAATGGAATCAATGATAAATGCAATTACTAATGTTGTTTGATCCATTTGAATGAATTCGAATAACTTTTTCTTTTCACAATATTAAAATGCCAGTTAAAAGAATCAAATTCAATTACATATTCGTAAATGTGAATCTGAATAAAAATAAAGAGAAAAATTCACGACCACTTTATTTTTAGAACCAAAATTAATTTGTTAATAATGGCTATGAATGATTCTGTGAGTTGAATTCGAAAATTGTTCCAAGATCGAATTGATTGATTGATCAACAACGTGCACGTTTATAATAACTAATTTAAGAACGTATCAAATATGATTAAAATTAAAAGGTAACTCAATCATTATTTTTCTGACTGATTATTGATTTAACTATTTTATTGAGCCAAGCATTTATCGAATAATTTTTTTTCCAAGCATCGATACTATCGATTCTAGATGGTTACATGAGTTTGATTGAGATTGTTGATTTGATCAATTTTTAGACATTTTGGACTTGAATAAATCGATAAAATTCAAAATGAGTTATCAACACCAAGGATCTCAATATCACCAACATTCTCATCAATCAAATCAGATTGACATGGATGCCGAGATGAGCAGGTATGTTTCCATTTATTTGTATCTGATTTATAAAATAAAAGTTTTTTAGATTTGAAAAAGAAGTGCTTTCCGTTTCATCAAATGCTGGCCCATCATTGTCATCAACATCGTCTAATTTTCCCGTCCATTTTATACCGCATCAAATTCAACGACAGCTACCTTCACAACGAACACAACAAGCAACTTTTGTGCCAGCCGGTCAATATGCTGGTTCTTCATCGAATTCAACGACCATTCAATCATCATCGAATCAAGGCCAATCCACCGTGAATTATACTGTCACACCTATGCAGGTTCCATCAAATGTTCAGCAAATTTCAACAACACCTACTGGTCAACTTATATTGACAAAGACAAAATCGAAAAGTGACAAAAAAGGTAATAAAAAGAAAAAGAATCTACGAATTGCTGGTGGACAAGTCTGGGAAGATCCATCGCTAGAAGAATGGGATCCGAATGATTTCCGTTTGTTCTGTGGTGATTTGGGTAATGATGTATCCGATGATGTCCTCACAAGAACTTTTAATAGATATCCATCGTTTATCAAAGCTAAAGTTGTCCGTGATAAACGTACTAATAAAAGTCGTGGTTATGGATTTGTTAGTTTTAAAAATCCAGTTGATTTTGCTCGTGCCATGAAGGAAATGAATGGTAAGTTTCGAATAAAAAATCATAAGCAAATTATGTTTAAATGATTTATTTTTTTTTTTACTTATGAATACAGGCCGATATGTTGGATCACGTCCTATTAAATTACGTAAATCGAATTGGCAGGATCGTAATGTAGAAGTGGTGAAGAGAAAAATGAAACAAAAACAAAAACTTGGCTTCATCTAAAGATTTTCATTCAATAACGTTAATAAAATTTTCACTTTCCATCGAAATTGTATTGTTTTTTTTAAAGATGGGTATATCACAAATTTCATTTGGGAATTTTTTTTATGAATTTCAACGCAGCGGAATTGATACAATAACGAGTTCGTTTGGGATAAGGACCATCATCGAATACATGACCTAGATGAGCATTACAGGATGAACATGTAACTTCGGTTCGAATCATATCTGTAAAAGATGAATGAACAAATGGAATAAGATTTTTTTGATTGAATGAATGCAATAAAAACTCACTATGCGATAAATCTTCGGTGAGGGCTACATTATCTTGTTGCACTGGTTGTTTGAATGCGGGCCAACCACATTCAGTGGGAAATTTAGAATCCGAAGCAAATAATTTTTGCTCACAAACAATGCATATGTATTCACCAGAGTCTCGATGTTTATAGTATTCACTCGTGAATGGTCTGGTTAATTGAATTGTTTAGTAATCCATATATAAATCAAATTAATTTCCAACCTTTCAGTTGCTTTCAATTGGGTCACAGCATATTGAATGGGTGTCAAACGATTCTTTAGTTCATTATCGTCGATTTGAATCTTAGATTTTTGATTCGAATCTATTGGCAAGGAAGATGACGATGATTGTTCTGATTGGCCAGAATTCTGATTTGTATTGCCCATGATGATAATACTGCTCACCAGTTGATAATGATGACGATAATGTAATAGAAATACTGATAAGACAATTTTTCTTGTATTTGGAATTCATAAATTTTATAATTTTCAAACAACAGCTGTTGTCTGATGTTTTAATAATTCTTTCACCAACAGATGGCAGGACTATGATACCACCATTTTGTTGTGATAATGAGATCAAAATTCATATAATAATTAAATTAATGCACACATTGTTGATTCATTTAAATGACGAAATTCAAGCTTGTTCAAATCAAAGTTTTCGTGATCTAATTTTTTCGGAATAATGTTATCCTGTAAAAAACATTCAAAAGTTTTTGATATTGAGTCTTTGTCAATGCCAACGATTGTTGACAATCGTGGCGAAGCCAATATTATTATTGATGAATCAAAAACCGATTTTTGTGATGATGACTATTGCTTAACCGAATTATTTATAACAACGTTAACTCTTCGGTGCTATTATTGTCAAAATGGTTTTCTTCGTTCTGTTTCTTCTACTAATAAATTTGTTTGCATCTCATGTGGCAAAATGATACCTGATCTATCGTTCGTGGTTCAATCGATTATGGATAAAGAACATGATTTTGAATCATGTCATGATAGATTTCAAAATAATGAAGAGAAGCTTCCCCATTTGGAAAGGATGCAGCATAATTTCAATCAGCTAGAAAAATTACTATCTGCTTATGATATTCGTTTGATAACTTATGCTCTAAAAATGGCCCGAGCATTTCATTCTATTAATCAGCTGAATAATTCTATTTATTATTGTCAATATGCATTACGTATCTTATCCTTTTATTGTTTGGATTTCGTTTTGGATAATGAACGCGAAAAATTCTACAAAATTTGGATCGAATTGCAATTGTTACACGATGAACATTTGAAAGTTCAAGAGCAAGATGAAAATTATCGTTTGTACCTTGAGAATTTTCAACGCTTCAAATCAAAATTGAATGATAAAGATTCGATTACAAACGAACCAATTATCAATGAATCGCCTACAGGTGATGCTGATGATCAAAAAAAATAACATCAAATAATGTCACATTTTTTATTACATATAAAAACATTGAAATGGAAATCGATTTCCATTGTTTTGTAACAATTATATTTTGTGTAAACATACGTTTTCAATTATCAAATTTGCTTTTGAAAAAATTACCAATAAAATATTTTCATTTTGAACTATCTATCAGCCGCAATCAATCGTTCATTGATCAAAAATCCGATTATATCATTTTCATGTAACATAACTGACATGACGACACTCTTGACAAAAGTATAGACATGAAGATCTTTAAATCCGGAAAAATCATATTTTATCAGCAGTATAATCGATCAGCTGTAATATTCCCGTGTTATTCGTTTAGGATTATAATATCAGGAAATGCATGCTAAAAAAAAAGTTCAAAAAAGATTTTATCTTCATTCGTTATTCATTCCATCTAAAGTTGAACTTTTTTTTCGTTGCTGTGAAACATAGTTACAATATGATGGTGGATTATATATGTTGATTTTGATTTTTTGTTTTTGTTTTTCCATTGTCTACCATTATTCAGACAAATATTGTCTTTTCCATTAAATTTACAAAAAAAAAGAATAGTTTTCGTTTTTATTCATCAACAAGTTATACAATGATCTATGTACTGAATTTTTAATTATGATACCATACAACTTTATATATTTTTTGTGTGATGTTTCTGTATGTGAATTTGATGATAAAAATCAACATAATAGTTATGATGATAATCCAATGATAGTATGAGGAAGATAATGTTTAACTTTTAATTTTTCATGTTTAAAATACTGATCATCATCATAATGTTGATAATAATGTTTATAAAGATGATGAATAACATAAATGACAATCTTTCCAAGCCATTCATAATTAATGATGATTGCAAGTCCGTTTGTTGATTTTTCTTTTCATCTTCCTACTTTTGTTTTGTTGTCTCTCTTTGTCTTTGTTTTATATTATTATTATTTTTGAATTTTTGTTTGTAACAAGTTTGTATTAATGATAAACATTTGAATTTTAAATTTCAAATCATCCACTCATTTCTAGAAAAAAAAAATTTTTTTGCTCGTTCCATAGACTACCAGCTATGTGTGATGAATACTTATTTCTGCCTTTCACATCATAATGATATTAACATGGTACATGATTGTAAATGAGATTTTTTGTGATTTTTAAATACAATGCTGATGGTCATTATGGAACATACAGATAACATCCTCAGACAATTTTCCGGATTTTTATTTTCTTACTTATTTTGTATGTTTGAGATTTTGTGAACTTTTAAATTGTTCCTGGTTGTTAATGCATCTTTTATTTGTGATCGTTTATCAAGGTATCACTGTATTGTGGAAAAAGTTTTACATATTTCAAGTTTATCCTTACAGTAGATTTTTTATGCTTTTTTGTTCTGTTTTCCATTATTCAGAAGCTAAAATTTTTTTTTTGTAAAGTAACCTTAATTTGTGTGTATTCTTTTCGTCAAGTGATCAATCAATGATTTTCCATCCATTAGTATTTGGCAGAGATTGATTAAAAGATTAGTGATTATCATGTTTTTGGTTTATTATAATTATTTAAGGATTTAGGTGTTTTTTTTGAAGATCTAACGGCAAAACCTGTCAAATAAAAAGGTAGCAATTTGTTTTTATGAATATAATGTGTGATGATAGTCACCTTGCTTACGATGACCGATCTGATTTTGATAATTTGATGTTTTCAAAGAAAAAAAAAATTTCTAATTTATTTTTTTAAAAATAATTCAATCATTTTAGCATTTTTTGTGACTATTTTTGGTTGTGATCATAAAATAGTTAAGACTTTTTGTCTGTAGATTTCTTGTTCTTCATCGGAATTTCTGGGTATTTTTGGAATGATTTCAAAATATCTATATGTTTATGTTGTAAATAATAGTATCATAACAAGTTCATTATCTACCAGCAACAGGTTGTTATGAATAGTATGTTTCTTTTCAATAGCTATCCTTCAAATCTAGATCTGCCCAAAAAAAAACTATAGCTAAAACATTAACTTTTTATCATTTCAAAATTCAAAATTAGAATCTATTTTGACCCTGATGATTCAAGTAAAGATTTTGTTATTTACAAACTATACATACATATATATATGTTCCAAAAACCCAAACCTGCATAAATAAATGCAATGATTCTTTTTTTAGAAAGTATCCTTCATTTTGTGTGAATGAAACCCAATGTGAAAAAATTGATGATAATATTACTTTTGATGCATAGAATACAATTTGGTATATGTGATATTCACAATGTCATTTTCACATGTCACACTTAAACGTTTGCGTGTTGCGTGCACGCGTGCCATTGATTACAATGTTTCATAATGTTATTCCAACTTTCAATGATTCAAACATACATGAACACCTTATGATAATGTGTTTCTCTTCATTGTTGTTATTTTTGGCATCTGTTTATGTAAAAAAAATTGTCTTTCTAACAAAATTTCGTTCTTTGTTGGTTTGATGGGCTGGTTTGATTCCTTGCGTGATGATAATTTATGAAAAAAAACCTATGAAGCCATCATTATTGGAACTTTCATAATTACTAGTTGTTTGTTTGTTTACTTTATCCCAAATTTTTTTTTTGAATTTCAAATCAAATGAATCGTGAGAAGTGATAATCCTTAAAAGAGTTAGAAATCCATGAGATTGATGCTGATGATGACTTATCGATAGTGATGATGATGATGATGAGAAAGTAGTTTTTTTATTACTACTGCCAATCGATCAAAAACAGAAAAATTCAATGATAATCACAACAACAGGTGAAAAATGAATTGAATGTATGAATGAATATTATCATCAACTTTAAATCAACAGGTTGTTGACATTTGTTTTTGTTATTGTTGAATGTCATGAAATTTTTATTTGAAGCATGATGATGAATTGAACATTTTAAAGTGGGCAAAGTTTTTATTTGTTTTTTTTTATTTTCACTGTCTGCTTGACCATATTTATAATTGTCTGCGTTTGTGATTGAAGGCCATAGGTCATCTGATCATATTTTCTATTTTTTTGGAAATTTTTTTTTTGTTCCTCATGTCTTTTTTTCCAAATTCAGGTTAAGTGTGTGTGTGAGTCTGTGTGATTTAAGGATTGTTAATATTTTTTATGATAAAATTATTTACCATCATGATGATCAAAAAAACAACCTACGAGTAATAGAACTAAACAAATAAACGAGATACAAACGATTGATTCAAACATCACATAATAATTTGAATAAATTTTAGAATAAAAAATCGAATATGAAATAACCAAAAGGAAAGAAGAGAAAAAAATGAAAATTACGCACGATCAACAGAAAAAAAATGAAATAATATAATTTTAAGATTCGAATTTTACAAAAAAAAAATGAACATTCGAATCTTTTGTTCACGAGTTTACGAAAATTTTTTTTATCCTCCAATAAAATCTTTTGATTTTCTTTTTTTTTCTCTCTCTCTTTTGTTCATTCTGATTATGATAATGACGATTTTTTGACTCATCAAAATCTTGCACAATTTAATCAAACATACCATTATATTAAAGATGTTAGAGTGATGTACGAACGTGTGTCTTTCACACTTTATTGACCAATGAAGTTATACAAGATTTAGATCCATCAGGCATAATTTTTTCTCACAGATTATTGCTTTGGATCATCATATCATATTTTTTTTTATTGCATACACATTATACAATGTTGCTGTGTATATGATGAGCCAACAACAACAAAAAAAAATATTTTTGACATGACAAATTTCGAATCGTGCTTTTGGATTGTTCGTGTTAATTTTGTGTATATTGCCTATTATCATCATCATGATGTTTCTAACCGTTTTTTGGGCCATAATCGTTGTTTCATGACCCGAAACAACTTTGACTTAGCTCTTCATCGGTAAACCTGATGTGAAAACCGAAAATTCATTTTTTTTTGTTTAACAAAATCCCAAGTGATTGATAAAAATGTCACGAATGAGCTGAAAATTGTTTTTCCATGTCACGCACATTTTTAGTATATTTTTTCTATAGATTTTGCTTATGATGATCG